ATAGGATAAGGGTTGTCTGTTGCTTGTCTATTACTTTAGCACTTAGGCATTTGCGTTTAAAACCCAGAGCACAAATATTCTGAGTCAGGATCAATTTTGCTGTAAATCAGTTGGGTAGATCCAGAGCCAAGGCACACTGGCAGCCAAGGTACCTGTTAAGGGAGATGATAAATTGAGTCCTTAAGCCCTTGGCAGAGGAGCTGACTTAGAGATAAGAGATAAGAAAATGAGTTTGCAACAGAATCTCTAATGATTCGTTGGGATAGAAATCAGAAGCTCTTCGGCAGTCTTGATTACATTTTTTTCATTCTCTTGGCAACTTATTTGGTACATCAGCATATTTTGTAACTTCCCCCCCGCCCTCAGTCCCTTCAGTAACGCCTTTTGCTTGAGTGAGCAGTAAATAACAAGGAGAACTAGGGACGATTAACTATTATTGTAGCCCTATGACGAATGAAAATTCATACATTGCACTTTGGGGGAAAATGTACTTATTAACATGCCTGTGGGGGGTAGGTTAATGTTGCTATTTTAACGTTGCTTAGGAGGAACTGAAGTAGAATAACTTACCCAAGGTTAGCCAGCAGTCAGAATTACAGGAGCAGAGTTCCTCCCAGCAACGGCCCCAAGCCGCCTTGGGAAGAAAGTCAAGGGTACCTGCAGCATCCTCTGGCCACACCCCAGACTCTAAACACAGGACTCATCTGCGCAGTGAAGCTACTTAACTGGCTGACCAGAAATTCATGGATAAACTAAAAAATTACATCTTGATACTCCCACATCTTTTCACATGCATTCACGTATTCATTTGATCATTCGTTTGGAGGATTTTTGAACCCAATAAAAACTTCACGACCCCAGAAAGAAAGTTTTAATGGTGATGTGACAATTGGCAGGTTAAGGTGCAAGTCCATTAGCCATCCAATCATGCTGTCAGTTATCTTTTTATTCATTCAACCGAAATTGATTGAACACTTGCTGGGGAGTTCAGTGTTGCTGCGGCTCAAGCCTTAACAAGTGCTGTGTTAGTAGACAGGGAGCAGATCTTACATGACATGAAAAAGAGGATTTCATCCTGTAGTGAAGGGTTAGCTATTCGAAAATTTGGAGCCTGGGGTCGGGGGGTGACTTGATTCGCTTTTCTTGACTGGTTCTGGCAGCAGTGTGGAGGAGAGGGGAGAAGAGAAGCTGGGGAAGTAGCCCTTTTCTGAGAGAGATGATGAGAACTTGAACTAGACCTTCGGCCATGGGTATGGAGAGATGAAGAGATTATGAGACATCATAATTCACGGGACAAATAGACAAGAAGGCGTGAGTGACTGGATGTGGGAGGCAAGAGAAAGAGGGGGTCTAGGGTGACTTCCGGGTTTCTGGCATGGAGAACGGGGTTGGAAGGCGGTGCCACCTGGTGAGACTGGAATCACACGAGGGAAATCAGGAGGCGCTGGGTGGGGTGCAGCAGATGCAGGGATGGAAAATGGCTTTACTTTCAAATCAGGGCAGTTTGGATGTCTGCAGACATGTGAGAAACCATTTCCAATAAGCAGCTTACCATATGGGTCTAGACCTCAAGGTACAATCTGTGTAACAAAGATTTGATGGTCATCAGAATGCAGTGGACACACACAACTTGGCTGGCCTTGATTCTTCTCCCAGCCAGGGGATGACCCTGAATGACGATTAATCCTATGGTCATTCATTTGTTCTTTGACTTTATTTGTTTTTAATGTTCTTTTAAGCCATGAAGAAAGCTAATGACCTCCGCAAGTACTATGGAAAACATGTGGTCCAATATCAAGATGTGTCTAATAAACGCTGATATACTTTTATAGGTAACTCACAGATGCTTCCCCCATCTTTCCTTTATTTCTAATGGTTTCCCTGAGTAATTTTTGACATTTGCCCTCTGCCTCATGGGAGTCGTTAAGATAAAGTGTCTTGCACGCTGCAAAGCGTTACATAAAAGTAAAACATTTAAATGGTCGCAGTGATGAAGATGATTAGACTTTATACACTTTATAGATTTTATAAATCATTTAACACAATGTCTTCACGCCACAAATATTCGATCAATATTATTTGTCTTACCCATTTCAATGGCCCCAAGTGCCTCCAGCATCCCCAGCACAATAAAACCAGAGTGGCACTAATAATCAGATTACTAACTGTAAGAAATCAATTCTAAAAATTCCATTCACTTTGCATTGATTTGCCCTTGACAATATTTTAAGGGCTTCCTTCTGGTTCTGTTATTTCTGTTCAGTGCACCAAGAGGAGGCTTTTTATTTTTAATACGAGATTTGTTTGTTGGAGTATGTCCACTGAAATAAACCCAAAGTTGCATAACATTAAGTTTTGAAAAATAAAATTGAAAATCCAGAATTTTAGTTGAATTCTGATAGGTCTATTCCAGTTTAGCCCGGAAGTTCTTCTTCAAAATAAACAAGTTGTCATTTGTCTACAGTTCATGAAAAGGAAATAGCTTGTCAGTCAACTACATACAGACTCATAGCGACACCAAGTGGTACCATGTTGGAAATGTTTTTAGACTTTTTTAAACATCTGAGAGAAATTACCTGGCAATACGGTTGTCGTGACCAGCATAATCTGTAATCTGGCTCTAAATGGATGGAGTTTTTTCAATTATAATTACCACCAGTGCTTCTATATTGAAAATTTTGTCTCCAGCCCAGACTCAAAGTCAAAAAGAAAATTCCATAGGGGCCACCATGATCAGTATAGAAATGAGCGTAATTAATGTAGCTTGTCTTCTTGGAAATCAGGAGGAGGCGGGTGTTATGCATTCTGCAGGGTTAGCTGCTGCCCCTCATGATGAGTGCTACGATGGGAAGGTTAATTGAGTAACAGCAGATCCTTCTTTACTGCTTATTAGGTATAGGATTTGCAGCCCATTATTTAACATCTCTCATTAGTAAGTTCTCCCATCTCTAAAATGGGGAGACCTAAACTCATTGGTATGAGGGGAGCCTGGTTATAGAAGGACTCGTTATCACGTTCAGAGAGCCGGGCTCCTCTGGTCTCACCTTTACCTGGGGACCCCCTGCCAGGCCCTCCAGGTTGCAAAGTGCTCCAGTGGGCGAGTATATGATGGCCAGAAGCAGAGAGGAAACACCCTGTTTGGCCAACATCCACAGATGCAAGGATATGATGAAGCACAGAATATAAATCAGATCACGGGGTTCACGTACACGTGAGAGAGAATGGGAAGCAATGCGAATAACGAAGTCGTGAGAGGACAGATCATAAAAGGCCATGTCACTTGAACAAGATTGGATTTTATCATGAAGGCCCTGAAAAGTGGGGAATGGTATGGAAGTGTTTACTTTTTTTAAAATTATGACCCTAATAACAGTTTAAGGATTCCATTGGGGAAGGAGGGGATGAGCCTGGAGCAGAGGAACTAAGGAAGGGCTGGGAGGACGGCAGGTGCAGTGCAGGGTATTGGATTGATTGAATGTGGGGGCACCAGAGAGGTGGAAATCAGGGATGCTGGTCAGGTTTCTCCTGTTGTGTCTGTTCTATAAACAGACAAAGAGGTGCAAAAACAGCTCTCTGTTACTATTTCTAAAGGTGAAAGTCTCACGATCTAGAGCAAGGCTCAGAACGAGCCATGGGAAAGGAGGAGTGGTAAACATCAGAGACTCTTCCAGGGCTCTCACACTTCCTGTGCTTCCTCCACACCCCATAATTGAGGGCTGTCATGACCTGGATTTGTATTACCGGACACTTAATCCAAAACTGTTTAATAAACTGCTATAATGTGTAAGGCAGTGTGATGGGCAAGGCATACAAACTTTCTGGGTCTTAGATGCCATAGAACAGAGGTAGCATTTAGATTAGTCCTAAAATCCCTCCCTATTCAAATGCTGAATCTCTGTGACTTGCTTGCTTTCTTTTTTTTAATAAAAATTTTATTTATTTATTTGAGAGAGACAGACTGAGGAAGAGCACATGCAGGGGAAGGAGCAGAGGGAGAGGGAGAAGCAGACTCCTCGCCAAGCAGGGAGCCCGATGCAGGACTCGATCCCAGGACCCTGGGATCATGACCTGAGCCGAAGGCAGATGCTTAACAGACTGAGCCACCCAGGCGACCTCTCTGTGACTTTCTAATAAATCACTTCTTAACCACTTGTCACCCTTACCAATAACAAAATTTGTTTACCCCTTTCTCTCTGCTCTCTACCGAAAGGTAAGAAAATTATCCTTACTTCAATCTCCCCTTGAAAGCAGAAGTATCGGAGGTTCTGGGTGTTCTAGAACAAACTTGATTTCAAACCGAACAAACCTGATTTCAACCAGAACACTCCTGAGTTCAAACCAGGAAAAAAACCTGATTTCAAACCTGTTACTCAGAAAATACAGTTGCCCCAGTTCAGCATCTGGGGAGAGATGACCTAAGTGGAAGCAGCTAGAAAGCTTTCTCTGTGCACCTTCTGGAACACTTTGTGACCCATTGGATCAGCAAGGCGTCCTGATGCTGAAGGACTCTAATGGCCTGCTTCGCTCACCAGCTGTGCTTGTCAGGAAGTGATAACCAGGTCGGCTGTCCCTTCTGCCTCCAGGCCCAGGACCCCCAAGCCTCTCCTGGGGAAGATGCATTTAGGGTCTGTCGAATATAAATAAGCTTACTTCCAAACAGCAACACTAAAGCAACAGGAGACTAAGCCCCAGGCAGTTTTTCTCCTCCAAGCCCTGGTCCTCTAATTGAATGCGTCTCTATTTATCAGAAAGAGTGGGAGACTGCCCAGAGACCTTGATTAGCACATGAGCAGGCTTGCCGGAACCCCTTTCTCTGTTAGGAGCAGCCTTGGAGAACTGTCAGCAAAGGCCTTCATCCTGTTGAGAGAAACTTCAAAGGCCCCAGATGAGGAAAGAAGTGTCACTGGAAAATGTTGAAATGACAAATAGCAATATTTCCGCTGACAAAAGATGAAGATGAAACAAATGTTAGAACAGAAAACATGGTTTTATTTTGCCATGCTCTCTCTAGAAAACTGTCATCAAGGTCTTTAAGTGAAATGAAAAATGTGTCGATATAACAAGCACACTAGAGCCAACTTAGATTTCTAACAAGGAGAGTCATCTTTGAAATAACAAAAGCTTACAAAGTAATGAAAAATCTCAATGAAGAAAGTAAAGCACATGGCCCCGAGTAGTCTTGGGCTGCGCGCTTATTAGACAACATTAGAGGTGGAAGGTACTTAGGGATCGTCTGGGCAAACCCTTTCCCGTTACAAAGGAGGAGACTGAACACAGAGGACTCTAAATAACTTGCTCAAGGTCATATAATTCGTTAGTAACTTCTGAACTGTTGGCAATGTTTCCTCTCCATCCATGGAGCCAATCTCTGGAGTCTTCGCTCTGCAAAGCCATCTTTGCCCAGTTATTGAGGTGGCCCCGATCCGGGCTGAAGGTCAAGGTCACCAGATGCTGGGACCTCGAATGGGCCTCGCTGTCTTTGATCCACTCTGCACTGTGCTCATGAGCCACATACAGACTGGCCCAGACAGGCTCGGTATGTGAGTCAGCGGATAATGAGGGAGAGGCGGCCGAGGGAGACGGAGCTCCAGGGGTTGCAGCTGTCCCCCACTTTCCTGCTACGAAGTGATGGGCATTCTAGAACTGCTCTCTGGGGCATACAGAATAGTGTGAACTTCTTTGTAAAGAAATGTTGAAAATCTGGCCTGAGAGAGATTTTAATATGGACCCTAGAGTCCAAGAGAACTCATCTGATTCTGAACTTTGAGAGTTAAGGTAGGAGGCAGGAGAGTGGAGTTGGTGGGAAACGGGGCAGCCAGGCCAGGCTTCTCTGCCTGTATGTTCTCTGGGACAGATGCAAGTTGGGACACTTTTCCACAAACATGAGGCCTCTCAACTAAGCACACTTTTTAAAGGGAGGGCTACTGAGGAAATAGATTTACCTAGACACATATAACAGTAGAGATGACTGAAATGAGTTGCCAATAATCAAAATTATACATTGCTGGATAGGAATGGACAAACTTTACAACGAGCTTTGAAGAATATCCTTGGTTTAATATAGAAAGAACAGGAGGAAACAATTTAGACAAGAATATTACAAATTCCAATTAGTATTGTTCGCTAATTCAAGAATTCATCACGCAGACTCGCATGCGCGCACACACACACAGACCCATATGAAAAAGAAGTTATCAAAAGGCTAGAACGTTTGTGAAATTTAAAACATAATTACCCAAAAAAAATCAATAGAGGGACTAGGATAAAATATTCAGGAAATCTCTCTGGTTTTAAGAATGGAAAACAGAAAAGTTGAGCTGTCCATGATCAATTCAGAGAGTTCAACACTAGATGTTGATGTCCTCTAGACAGGAAGATAGGAAAGGAAGAAATAATCACATCAATTGTACCACAATTCATCAATTCCAAAATGATCTCAGCTCTAAAATGCATTATTATTTCATGTATTGCTAAGGAAATAAAGGCTGTGCCAATCACATTAGGATACAATAACTTATTTCACTTGAATTTTTATTTTACAACAATGTTGAGAGTTCTTTTAGGTGTATTTAGATGTGTATTTTATTACTTCTTGTTCAAACATAAAATCAGATATTTGCAAAATAAATTACAAAATAACCTTGAAGCCTGTTCAGAATTTGACTCTTTAAATAGTTATGGGGCTTAAAAGCATAGATGTTCGTGGTTTTTTGTCACGGTGTTGTTTATTGCGCCATCAGAAACTTTGGTATGTGGCCATCACCAAACCCCACCAACCATGAGCAGACAGAGCACTAGCTAGTGTCTTTAGGATTCTCTTCTGGGCTGCTGACACCCTTTCTGCAAGCTTCGATGTCAGCAGCTGATGGGTAATCCTATAGCACAGCTTCTTCTACTTGCCCTTCCTTAGGTTTTATAAATCATGGTCACTGCTTTGCAACAGAATAGGGGATTTTTACTCATTCCACCAAACATAAGGAATCACTTCTCTAAAATCAGATTTCACATCACAGTTCCACTTTAATAATTTTTGGCATTCACAGTAATTTTTTCGTGCCAAGTAGTAACATAATCTTCAAAAATTAATGGCAACTATATGCAACACATATAGCACCAATAACTTGACGTGAAAAAAATAAAAACTACGACTAAAAACAGGTACAGAATGACAATGACATCCAGACACATCTTACTTTCGGAAATGTAAAGATGTACAAAACTGGCTCTTCGTGTGAAGTACAGTGTAATATTGAGCTTTTTTGTCTAGTTTTTATTATTTGTTTTTCTGTGTTCATTTGTCCAGTATTGAAAGAGGCACGTTGAAGTTTAAATTTATCTTCACTGTGAATTGTTTCCTTTTCTGTATCAAATGACAGCATTTCTTCCTTTCAATTCATTTCCTTAAAGTCTAGTTTTTCTGAGATAGCTCGACACCTACTGTCCTTTTGTTTAAATTTGCCTGATATATCTTTGCTCATTTTACGTCACTTTATTTGAGATATGATTATTGAAAACCACATTTTGCAAAATACTGTTCTTTATGTTCAATCTGAAAGATTTTTGTCTTTTAATAGGGAAGTTACATTTAGTTTGATTATTAAACTTAACAGTCCTATTTTCTTAGCTAACTGCATTTTTATCACACTATATTATACCATGATTTCTCCATTCTTTGGTTAAATTTCTTTTTACTGTGAAATGTATCATGCATACAACCCAACAGAGATACCAATGGATATATTTAAAGGTTAATAGTAAATTTAACAAACATCTAATATCCACTATTTGGCTTAAGAAACTGAGTATCATGAATAACTTTGAAGCTTCCTGTTGACCTAACTGATCACATTCTTTCCCTGCCCTGAATTTAATAGTATCCTGTATTTTGCATTAAAAATTCCTGTATTTTTTATAGCTTTATATATACATGTAGATGTATATATATCTTAACAGCATCATGATCAGTTTGCTTACTGTTTAACTTTGTGCAAATGCAACTGACACCTTTTATTTTTGCTCTGCATTATATTTTATGCTGATAGCTGTGATTAATTCATTTTTCCCAATATATGGTATTCCATACAAATTTGTACAACCTCCGGAAGACACCAGTACATTACAATCTATATGAAAGGTGCTAACAATGTGAAAAGTGCCCCAGAGCTAAGCAAGGTGATGACCCTGATTCCATTGTATGAATACAACATAATTTATTCATTTTAATAATTCAGCATTTTTCCTAGGGGGTTTTTTCAACGTTTTTTCTTGCCATGAGAAACAATATTGCTATGAGCATTATTTCACATGTCTTTTGAACATTTCGTTTCTCTAGTAGGGAAGCAGGAGTGGGATATCTGGTCATAGTATATACAAATGCATGCATTAGTGAGCTGCTTTTCTCTTGCTAATCTGTCTTTTTGTTAAAGAGTCTCAGTGAAAACCTAAGATGGGTGGAGGTCAAGTTTTCCTACCCTACAAAAGCATAAGATGGACTGGACTTCTATCCCTGGCTTGGAAAATGGAAGAAGGAGAAAGACCCCAGTGACCGCTAAGAAGGAAACAGGAACTTTGTACCTACAACCATGTAGAGCTCAATGCTGCCAGTAACTTGAATGTCCCTGAAATGGAGTCTACCTCAGAGCCGCCTCAAAGGAGGGAGGCAGCCCTGCTGGCGCTCTGACTTTGACCTTGTAAGACTGGGCAGAGTCAAGTCTACTGACCTACTGAACCGTGAATTGGGAGACAACAAATCACGTTGCTCAAGCCTCTGAGTCACGGGTAACCTGTCAAGGCAACAAGAGAAAACCAACAGAGTAGGTGAGCTTTGCTTGTGATAATTTTGTTGGTCCAAATGCTTTTAAATAACCAGATCAATGTTATTTTAAATTAATTTTTTCTAGTTGTGTTTATCTTTGATGGAAGGAAGCCAAGAACTAAGACTTATCACTGCTCAATTAAGGCCAAAGCAGGTTGATAGAAAACAGACACCTGACGCTCTTCCAAGCCTCATATTATAAGTTCCTTTCGTTCATCCATACAGTTTTGCAAGGAGCTAGGATGTCAGTACGTCCTAGCTCCTTTGTCCTTGTTGTTTGTTCTATGATAACTAAATGACAAAAGGGTCAATCCAAGACAATGGTTGATGGGTAGAGGGGTGGAGATCCACCTCAAGTTCTGTGGGGAAAGAGAAGGAAGCTAACACTCAGAGAAACAACAAAGCTGGAAATGGAGAGTGAGCCTAAGACACTTGAGTCTACGGTCCTAGTTATTCCTCAGGTACTTTTTTAAGCTTGAGACGAGATAATAAATTGCTTTTTTCTTAAGTTAGACAGAAATGTGCTTCTATCATTTGCAGAAGAAAAGCATCTGTGCTGAATTACTTTATTAGTTTCTTGTCGATGCTGTAACAAATTATTATAAGCTCTAAGCATGAGTTCATGATGTCAGAGCTCTGCTGGTCAGAAGTCCAAGGCAGGTCTCAGTGGACTAGAATCAGGGTGCCCACGGGGCCATGCTCCTCTCTGGAGACTCTAGGGCAGAATCCATTTCCCTGCCTTCTTCAGCTTCTCCATTCACATTCCTTGGCTCAGGCCCTTTTCCTCCATCTTCCAAAACCAACAACATTGTTCCGCCCTTCATCCATGGTTGCACTTCCCTCTGAGCTCTTATTTCTACTTTAATTTGCTTTCTTTCATTAATGATATTGAACATCTTTTCATATATTTATTGACCTTTTCTGTTTTCTTCTTTGTGAAGTAGCTCTTCAAGTCTTTACCCATTTTTCCATTGGCTTGCCATTTTCTTACAGACTCTTTGATGAAAATACTTTGTTTTAGATATTTATCTTTTAATGGTTAAATGTGTTAAATCCTCATCTCCTGGCTTGAGCTTATATTTTTATAATTTTTATGGTATATTTTAAATGTATTTTAAAGTGCATGTATTTTAATGTAGTTGATTTTGTCAATTGTTTGCCTTATTTTGCTTTTTATATATTAAGATATCTTTCCCTTCCCTAAAGTCACAAAATATTCTGCTATATTTTCTTGTAAAACTTATAAAATTTGGTTTTCATATTTTGGTATTTAATCTCTCAGTAATTAACTCTGTTTCCTTTTCTATAAGGAAGTTGTCTCAGCATACTGTATTAGGTTATCATTTCCCTAATGACCTCTAATGCCAGTTCTGTCCCATTTCCCATTTTAATATATGAATGAGTACGCTTCTGGGCTCTCTTTGGTACCATTAATCTGTTGGTCTATCCCTGTGAAAACACCACACTATATTATTAAAACTTTATAATAAGCTTCAATATCTGGTAGAGCAGAACTCTGCAACATGATCTTTTTCTCTAGAAGTGTGCTGGGTATTTCTGGCCCTTTGCTTATTCCTATAAATTTTTAAATGAATATACTTGTCAAGTTCCACAGAAAACATTGCTGGAATTTGGATTGGAATTACATCTATAGGACAGGTAAGGGAAAACTGATGACTTTTCAACTCCAGGTCTCTCTATTCATGATATGAAATATCTCCCTTTCCTTTGGCCATGTTTAATGACTTTCAATAGCATTTCTTAATTTTCAACACAACAGGCTTGCTTATCTCAAGTTATTGTTACTGAGAACATTATATTTTTTAATTCAAAACTAACTACGTTTTCTAGCTATTGCTTTTTAAATGCATGAAAATGCAATTGAGTCTTGTCTAATAATGATAGTTAACCAATTACATGCTGGGTACTGCTACACCAGGCATTGTTCCAACCTCTTTATGTACCCATTAAGTCCTCTCAACAACTCTATGAAGTGAGTCCTGTTATCATAATCACTTTCGTATTAGTTCCTCGGGTGTTATGGCCTGGGATGCAGAGGGGCCCTCCTAGGACCTTTGCAGTTTTGAGACCCCCATCTGGGCCAGGTTTTAGCTGTATAGAACATTTCTACTTCACTAGAGAACTCCTGAGCTACCCCTGGCCCAGAGATTTTGAGATCACTGAACCCTGACCTTGACATACTGCTTCTGGTCCCCTCCGGGGACAGAGAGATCTCAGCCTGAACCCCAGTCTCCTTTATTTGGAAAGCCAAGAGGTCTGAGTAAAGGTTGACAGGTGTCCTTAGCTCATGGTCAGTGTTCAGACTGCAGAGGGCTGTCTGACCGACCTCCCATGGCCTGGTACCTGCCCACTGGTTCCTTGGTTTGGTTTCATGGGTTTACCATTTAGTACATTTGGTACCATTTACCAAACTGTACATGTTAAATATGTAAAGTTTATTCTGTATAAATTATACCTCAATAAAAGTGTAGACTTTTTTTAAGTAAGAGGTGGATATGAGATTAAAACTAAAAGATACAGGCTTTCTAGCCCTGTGGATTCACTTTTGGCCAAGTCTTCTTCAGAAAGTAGGGTCCCTGAAATGAATATGGCCTAACAGAAAACATATTCTAGCTTGATGAACTTTAAGTAAGAACTTGAATATGAATGGTTCAAGTAACTGTGAACTGTGAATCCAAAACAGAGTCAGGAATAACCACTCATTAAAAAAAAAAAAATGGCCAGCAGCAGTTAGCGGTAATGTAAATAGTCATGTATTTTGGTGGGGGGAGGTTAAAAACCAGGACAACTTTCTAGAGACCAATTTGGAAGAAGTCTCAAAATGTGCCCAACTTTTATCTTGACAGTACAATTATTAGGAGTATTTCTTTTAAAATATGCAGGATGTGAGCAAATATTTAGTACATTCATAAGAGTATAGTATGTAATTTTAATTACCTAAATTGTCTAAAAGTAGATCTAATAGTAGAAAATATAGAGAGCCATACAATTTGACACATCAAATTGATGACATAGATAACTACCTTGAGGAGAGTTTATGGCAAGTAAGGGTAGAAATAGCTACAGAAGTCTATGATTAACTTGTGCTAAAATATGTTTGTATTTGCATACATAGAATTGGGAAGGATATACATCATTGATAGGGATTTCAGGGGCGCCTGGGTGGCTCAGTTGTTAAGCATCTGCCTTAGGCTCAGGTCATGATCTCGGGGTCCTGGGATCGAGTCCTGCATCGGGCTCCCTGCTCAGTGGGGAGCCTGCTTCTCCCCCTGCTTGTGCTCTGTCATATAAATAAAATCTTTAAAAAAAAAAATAGTGATTTCATAGTGGTAAAATTGTGGGTGACTTCAGTGTTCTCTAGTACTTTTCAATAGTTTCCAAGTTGCCACCACAATACAAATCCTTTTGTAAGTCAAAAAAATACTGCAGGGAGGGCCGTGCGTAAGCACAACGTGGGCGTATGTGGTTAAGTAGAGGGACACTGTCCTGACAGCTGCTTCACATGAAGGTCCCAGGGTGGGGGGTGGGGGCAGCTTCCGATGAAAAGGGAATGGAGGGGACTACGTGGCACGTTCAGAGCTCGGCCTCCTAGCGCAGGCCTGAAGGTTTATGGCAAGAGGATGTGAAGGAGTCGTCTTCCTGGGGGCCTGTGTGAGACGTGGGACCCGCAGGGCGGTCTGTGTGATCCTGCCGGGGCAGAGACACTTCATCTCGGCTATGAGCCTGGGTGGCTGCAGGCTTTACCCCGTGGTGTTCGCCTCTGGCTGTGTGTGCAGTGGGGTTGGGCTCTAGCCTCTCCCCGGGAACCCGGGAGGGGAAGTGGGCAGAGCTCTGAGGTCACTGCAGGATGGGAACGCGTAGGGAGGGCTGGTCTGTGAATCCCAGACATGCTCTGCAAGACGCCCGCAAACAGTGAGAACAGACAGTGAGGAGCAGGCCGTCCTCTGATAGGCAGGTGAGAGCAGAGTCGATGAGAAAGAGGAGCTGACCGAAGCCCCCGAACAAGCACAGCCTTCTCGGCCCCAAACTGTGCACGTGTGATGCGTCTCTCAGTGGCCGTGGAATATTCGGTCAGGACATTCACACAGACTTCCCAGGAGCACACGCTTTATTTGGGCATTCAAAGCATCCCACCAGTTTGGTCACAGGAATCTGCATTAAGGCAGGTGGGCAGAAGCGAAAGGAGTGTTTACAGCAAGTGCACCTCCTTATGGGGAGCAGAACCTGCCACAGAACAAAATGCTCTTGGTGCTGTGGTGTGTGATGAAGAAAAGGAAGGGGTGGTCTGCGCAAAACCTTGGTTCGGGTCTGCTGCTTCGAGCGTTCCTGACCACGGCTGTGGCCCCCGCCGCCTCCGTGCCCTCTTCGTTCACTTCTACAAAGCACTTGTGCGCCACCTTGGACATGGGCACGTTCTTCTTCGCCGACATTCCAGAAAAGTCTGCCTTGGCTTCCTCAAACGCATCAGTCATACCTAAACTTCGGAGAAAAGACTCCAAGTCGTAACTCTCCTCCAGCTTCAATCGGGGAAGGAAAACGTGAACTTTATCCTTAGTCATCTTTTCTGGATTTGTCCAGGCTCTGAACTTCTCGTATGTTAGGGCTTTTTCCACCTGAAATAAGGAGGAGTCGAACCTTAAAATGGACAACAGCCTGGTGCTCTCCTGCCCACTCAGCCCCTCTCCCCTCCATGACACTGTCCAAGAAAATCTACAGAGATTTCCTGTACCACACCAACATTTTCCCTCAAATTCTCATCTTTTCCACTGTTTTATGGATATAAGAGGAAAAATAGCTAAAAAACACTTAGAGAGGGGAGATGCTTTTTTTTTTTTTAAACTATCTGTACCAAACTCATTTCAAATGTTTTTTAGTTTGGAAAGTTCTCATAACCAAGTGATTGTATCCATGTGATGCACATTAGTATGAATCACAGACTGTTTGACCAAAAAGAGAGCATGGCTCAGAACTCTGATGGGCGAGAGCAGGAAAATCAGGGATCCTCCAAACAGGAAGGAAGACGTGGCTTCCGGGGAGGGGAGCACAGAAATGGAGAATTCGACAACACTGTGGCTTCTGGCATTCTTGTTCATCTTCCGCCTGCCCTGGCGTTCGCCTCAAAGCCTCCAAGACCCATCACTCGGTCTGTGTGTCCACAGTGAAAAAAGGGAAGAAGCTTCCACTGCTTCTCCCTCTTTTCTTCGCCACCTGGAGCCCAGGCGAATGTTCCTCTCCAGCGACGGCTGTGTGGACATTAGCTCGAATTCCCAGACTCTCCTCATCTTCTTCTTGAGTAGCCATGACAGAGCTCACCTTTGACTTAGGCCAATAGCTTTCCAGCTCCACGGAGAAACCAGGGACACCGGGCAGCCCCACCCTCAGCGTCCTGCACACAGGTGTACTGGAGCTGGACTCTATCTCTGGCAAGAGTCCACTGTTAAACCCTCAGTCGCCTGAACTCAGCCAGACGCCAGAAATGAGTTGTTCCCCACCCCCAGACAGCTGGGTAACAAGCCCACTACTCGTCCTGACCTCCTTACAAATTTACTTTCTCCCACCCTGAACTTTGTTCCTTTTCTGTCATGGGAAGAAGGCCCTCTCCTCCCGTCCAAGAAAAATTCTTCACCTGTCCTTGAGACACCTGCTACCCAAAGTGTGGTCCCTGACCAGCAGCATCTACATCACCTGGAATCTCATCAGAAATGCAAACTCTCAGGCCATCGCCCCCTGAATCAAAAACTGCCTTTTAACAAGCCACCCAGCGGATTCCTACGCATGTTACTGTTTCTCAATATGGCAAGTACTCTCCTTGCCTAGTACTTTTTTGTTCAATAATTCCTGGGACTCGACTAGCCCCTCTTTCAGAGTAAAGCAGAGTGTTCTGATAATTTTGGAAGCCTCACCTCGCTTCCTGAGAATGGGTCCTCACCACCAAATCCACTCCTGGATACATGCTCAGCAGAAAAGCAAACACAAGGTCACTCCAGACAGGAGATGCTGTTCGCCCAGGACTCCTAACAACCCTCAACTGGAAATTCCTCATGTGCTACCTGACAGACGGACACAGAGAAATGCGCTCAGGCCGTCTCCACAGACGCTCAGACGCACTGGCCAAGGCTTACCAAGGCAAGATCGGCGTTGTCATCCGGAAGGACAATGACCATGCTCAGCTCCTGCCCCACGTACGGCAGCTCCAGTACCTGAGCGTGCACCTCATCCACATACCCCAGGTTAAATTTAGCGAGCTTAAACATCATCTGCACGGTCTTTTTCTCCTAATGAAAAATACGGAATTAAAAGCAGATCACTGAAAAATGAGCAGGGCTTAGGAAAAAGGAGATAAATCTCATCTGCAGAACCTCTAGGTCCATGGAAGAGAATTGCTATTTCTGCGCATTATGCTGATAGATGCCAAACCTCATTATTACATATTAGTATTTTTTTTTTAAGATTTTATTATATGACACAAAGGGAGAGAGAGAGAGAGAGAGACAGCGAGCGAGGGAACACAAGCAGGGGGAGTGGGAGAGGGAGAAGCAGGCTTCCCGCGGAGCAGGGAGCCCGATGCAGGGCTCGATCCCAGGACCCTGGGATCATGACCTGAGCCGAAGGCAGACGCTTAACAACTGAGCCACCCAGGCGCCCCTACATATTACTATTGAATACCACATGCTCTTGTCCCAGCAGATCAACTATTACCAGGTGGGAGAGAATAAAACTGACGAACGTAGACATAAAACCCTACATTATTTTTGGAAGAAGTTGTGTTTTTCACTTCTGAGAAGATGCATTAGAGAAGAGCACTCCCAGGGACCTTATAATTAAAGATTATTTATCCAAGTTAAGGGGAGAATTAACTAATATTCAGGTTTGGAGGCTGAAGGATGCGGTTAGAAAAGATGGATAGACCATAGAGACTTATATTTTTATTCTGAAAAGTTGCTCAATTATATAACTGGCTTCATGGCTTTGGTTTTCTTGGAGAGAGGACCTTGACAGGATTTGTAATGTCCACCATTTCTAAAGCTTGCATCAAATGTATTCTAGACTTTTAAATCTGTGTGCGAGGGGCGTCTGGGTGGCTCAGTGGTTAAGCGTCTGCCTTTGGCTCAGGTCATGATCCCAGGATCCTGGGATCGAGCCCCGCATCGGGCTCCCTGCTCTGCGGGAGGCCTGCTTCTCCCTCTCCCACTCCCCCTGCTTGTGTTCCCTCTCTCGCTGTCGCTCTCTCTGTGTCAAATAAATAAAATCTTTTAAATAAATAAATAAATAAATCTGTGTGCGATATGCTATCATCAAGTTGATGGAAGCCAAATTTCAAGCTAATTGCTACTGATGCCAACCATCATCATCCCCAAAAGTGAAGGGACAAAAGTGTTGTTAAAGTTAGGCTTTAAGTCTAGAGGTCTGACACCCAGCATGATGACCACAGTCACGAATACTGTAGTGAATACTGGAAATTTGCTAAGAGAGTAGATTTCAGGTGCTCTCATCACAAAAGTAACATGATAACCACGTGAGGAAAGTGTATGCTAACTGGCTCGACCAAAGGAATTATTTCTCTATGTGAATTATATCCAATCATCATCTCACACACCTTATATACAATTATTTAAAAAGATCCAAAAATAAAGACAAAGTTAGCCTGAACATCTGCTAACCCTTTTTTTTTCTTGTGTTCAGAACTATATAGCTAGGAGTTATAAGGCAATCTACAGGCATAGTTGGCACTGACATTGTAAGAACGTGTCTGGGTAAACACAGAGTGTCAACACAAACATAATACCAAGGGTTAGAAGAAATTTTCTTTCAATCCAAATAATATGGCCAAAGAGAGAAGAATCAGTTTGACATAGGATGCAAACACAAAACTATCAATATAAAAATGATTTTAGCTTCTCTCTTCCCCTCTCCAATAAAAGATATAGAAGGGGTGTGAAATTCATTGAGAAATATAGTATGAAATACATTATTTTTTCCATTCATTCACAATCTTTCCCAGCACATTACTTTCTTAAGAAAGTTAGCAGTACCCCCGAAAAATATTTTCCTACCTGGTTGATTTTGAAGGGCATACCCCTTGTGTGCTTTCTGTCAAACTGCTCATTCCACTTTCCGTTGAAATAGATGGCATTCACGAGAACCAGCTTAGTCAGCGGATCAACTGTCCCAGCACCCAGGATCTCTGAAATCTTACCTGCCAAGCATATCAGAGAAGTTTATAGCCATCTGGGGAAGAGGGGAGAGGAATAAACATTCTTTTACAACAACAACGCTCCTGACATCTGAAGCTCGGCATGGCTGAACCAGGCTGGAATCCTGTCTTCCCGGAGGCCTGAGGAACAGGGTGATGGGATGTAATGCCGAGCACTCACACCCTGTGGCATATCCACCCTGCTCGTCCCTACACAGCAATCTTGAAGCGGGCAGGTCAACTCTCATTTTGCCCTCAATTTATAGATGTAGAAATTTAGGTCAGAGCATTTGGCTGACATTTCGCCAAGGTCACACAGGTTCCAAGTGGCTGAACTGAGACAAGAGTCTTGCTTCTCATTGTAAACTGCCCAACCTTGGTGCCATGATTTTTCAACCACGCTGCTGCTGGCATTTCCCGCCAGATCATTCTTTGCTGTGGGGAACGTCCTGTGCATTGTAGGATGTCCCACCAGTAGCATCTCCCCAGCTGGGACAACCAAAACGTCTTCAGCCATTGGCAAATGTCACCTAGGGGCTGATTCTGGCGGAGAATCATTGCTCCACGCCAACCTTCAGATCTCATTTAGGTGAGGAGAAGCTTCTGAAGGATGAAGGAATACGCACCTGTAAACGGGTAAGGCAGTCCTCCTGAAGGCAGAGAATGGGGGAAGGAATTCAGGGGTACAATAAAGGGACCCAGACTGAGTTCTCCAATGAGACTGGCGACAAGGTGATCCCCAATATTCCCTACGGCTCTGATATTTGGGGGAAACATGCTGGCAGTCAATCTGATGAAGAGGAAGTGAGTGATGTAGGGAGGGTGATGTAGAGAGAAGCTTCTGGCTTCCCTGAGTGACCCAGTACTGCTGGATCGACTGGAGAACAAGAGACCACTGCACATACGACGTAGGAAAACGTGGAAGGCTCTGCCCTGCCAACAGCCATTATTTTATTGGCTTTCAGTACAATCGTGGGCCCTGCCGCTGCCGGACACACAGCAGGTGCACCCTAACGCGCGCTGGGTGGGCACAGAAGAAATAAGTCATTTAACGCCCTCCCTGCCCCCCCCCCCACATACTTCTGGAAGTCTCTCAATTGTGTTAGGTACTCCGAGTGCTTGAAAGCACGCCCTTCTCTGTACTCTAGTCAAGCACTGGCGGAAATATTCCTGGTAAGACAGAGCGTGGTCTGGACAGGGGAGGCCTTAGGCTCCGCGGGAACTGCATTTCCAGACTCTGCGGCAAAGATCACGCTCTGAACGCAAACTCAGCCTCAGCCCCAGGACAAAGGAGGGAGAGGCCTGCAGATAAAACCAGCTGCCCTCATCACCACTTATACAGGGAGATAAGGGGAACTGCTGCCCAGTGTCTCAGTCGCCCGCAGCTAAACTGAATGATGAGGGCTCCCCCACCCCGACCCCTCCCCTCAGATAGAAGACTGATGGGCCCCCAAACAGCACGCCTTTTTCGGGGACTTTCCAGCACAGTCGGGAGGGGAGTGGGTCTGAGATCCTTACGCTAAGTTTATGGGGTTTTTAGAAATCACCACTCGGCGACCTCGTAAGCCCGAGAAAAGGAAGCGAATTGCGCCGCTGGCCTAGAAATCCAGCAAACACACACCAACAGGCCACTGGCTACAGGGCCCGAGGGACACGCGGGAGGCCACGCCCCCGCGGCCTCGGCTGTCCCCCCGCTGTCCCCCCTTCCACGGGCCGAGGCCAGGCAGTGAACACGCCTCACCCTCCGTCCTCTGCGTCACCCAGTCGTTTATGCGTCTCCGGCATCCTTCCGTGTCTGCAGCAAAGGGCAGCTCTTCCAGCTCGGCCTCGTAGAACTTCTGGCAGGATTCCCTAAAGGCCTACGGACACAAGAGACCGAGCGTGCGCTCGAAGTTCGCACCCGTGAGAAACCCCTTCTTTCCCTCTGAACCATTCCCAGCGCGACCTCTGCCCGCACGGGGCCTCCTGCACTTGAAGACGCATCCGCGCAACGGACAAAAACCGCACGGCCCGCAGCCCCGGGGCGACGCCGCGCCGCCGGCCCGAGGCCGCTCACGGTCTGCGTCACGGTCTGCGTCACGGTCTGCGTCACGGTCTGCGGAGAAGCCGCGAGAAGCCGCGCAGGGAGCCGAGAGCTGCCAGCTTCCGGAACGCGGCCCGTGGCTGGCGGGCATGCGCAGAACCGCCCCGGGCCTCCCTGTCGAACACTTCCGCTCTGCGCTGACTTCCTGGTTGATTTTCCGTCTGACGGTCTGTCTGTGTGCCAGGGACTCCGCTTTGACCCGTTTTTGTACCACCACCACCAACCCCAGTGTCTGAGCTTTGTGAATGAGCGAGAGGCTCCCTAGTGGAACCAGATGATCCAGAAATCCTACGCGTCCCCCCAGGAGGGGAATGTGACAGGCCTGGGGGCGCTGTCCTGGGGGGGGGGGGGCGCGGATCAGGGAAAACAGTGGAAGGGGTGAGCCTTGGAATGTCAGCTGGGGTCCAGTCAGGAAGTGCCTGCACCCAATACATGAAAACCCAAAGATAACTCACCTCACAAACACTTGGTGTCAGATATAATGTGCCTGGCAATTGGCTCCCATCCTCCGCCCATCTCCTGTTCTCAAATATTTTAGCTTCTACAGCAGAGAGAAAATGTAGACAGAAAGAGGAGCCAAGCAACTGAGAAAATGGGAAGGTGGCTCCTTGTGTCCCCAGTACCCCCCCAATGGCAAACCTCAAAGATCAGGCTGATGTTCAAAAATGAACATCAGTTAACCGGAAGATTCCTGGGACCACTGGTGCTCATCCTAGAAGACCCAGAATTATCTCCAGTGATACTCAAGCCCAGAGCAGGCGACCTCCAGGGGGTCACACCCAACAGCAGCCAGGGGAGGGATGTATCTGCATCTCACAGAAAAATCCTTGGAACTGCCAGCCAGGAAGATGGCCGGGTTTGCCCAGATCCCTTCATTAATCTGAGCCAGCAACACTCTGCATGGTGTGCGACATACTTTTTCGGCCCTCGCTCGTTGCGTGACGGCAGGCTTTTACTGGACTGGGGACCTTGAGAATTATATGCTTCAGTACATAGGAAGTGCACAGATTTAAAACCTCAGTTTTATGGCCCAAGTTTAATTTTCCAGAGACTATTCTGCCAGTAGTGTGCAAGAACCTGGCTGGACCTGGAGAGATCCATCAGGAAAGAATTAAAAGAATGGTGCAGAAGATCCGGTGAGAGTGTGGACCCAGGCAGTGGTGGTGGTGATTCAGAAGAGGGGACAAATTTAAGAGGCCTTGAGAGACGGGCTCTGCAGGAACCGCCCAACAAACAGAGGTGAGCCTGGGGACAGCCATGTACACACATGGGACGATGTGGTCACTGAGGCACAGCGGATCAAGGGGGAGAGGCAGGTCTGGGTGCAGGAAGAAGGACATACTGAGATTGATATCTGGGAGGGATCTATCAAAAACAACTTTAAGGGCGCCTGGGTGGCTCAGTCAGTTAAGCGTCGGTCTTGGGCTCAGGTCATGATCTCAGGGTCCTGGGATCGAGCCCCACATCGGGCTCCCTGCTTGGCGGGGAATCTGCTTCTCCCTCTCCCTCTGGCCCTCCTCCCCACTTGTGCGCTCTCTCTCTCTGTCTCAAATAAATAAAATCTTAAAAAAAAAACAAAAAGCAAAAACCAGCTTTAAAAAGGACATAATTCAGAGGCAATCATAAAATTCAAAATCATAATTACAGAAGTACAACTCTAAGTACATTTTTAAGGCAACAGAATTATACTTTATCTCTGTTCTTCTGCAGTTTCAACCTTATTTGCCATTTTTTTAACATCCACGCGCGAGTTCCACTTACGGGAAGGAAATCACACGTCTTCTCTCCAAAGAGCCTGTTGGCAGTTCTGAGCAAGTACTGAGTGCCAGATTTGTTAACCTCCGTGAGAAGTGACCGGAAACCTTGGTGAATATCTCCGCCTCTGTTCAAACAAAGCACCTGGTAACAGACAAGGACACGGACTTGTAACACTGCCATCTTGCTCCCACAAAGAGCTATCTCCAACGACCCCTGTGCTGAAAAATCACTAAGGATCCCATCTTGAAAGGCTTTTGGTTTAACCCTCCCACAGCGCCTTTCCACGGGACACAGTTGACATCTGGGGCCACTTGGCGGCTGGGGCTAGTCCGCGCCTTCTAAGACATTTTGCAGCATTTCTGGCCTCTGCCCACTAGATGTCAGTAGCACCTCTCAGACAACCAAGCTGTGGGGACAGTGGCCAATGTCGCCCCCAAGTGTAAACCCACTTAGAAAGGCGGGTGTGAGAACTCAGGAGAGAGACAGAACAGAGCAAAGAGGTAGCTGGAATGAATCTAACACAACCTAGGGAATACGAGACTGAGCAGAAATCAACCGAAAATACTTCAGCAGCAATTTCATAGAAGTTCTGCAGACCAGACTGGGACTTCCATGTCAAGTCGGAGCGGAAATTAAGGTTGTTCCTCTGTCTCCCAATGGCCCCAGTCCAAAGCCTCCCTCCTGCAGCAAGCTGGAAGAAACCACCGCCAGAGGCACTTCCAGAGGGCTCCCACGCACCCCTGCTATCGATGGGGAGGCCATGTGCATTGGCAATGTCCTGGGACACTCACAAGACTGTCAAAGAAACTTAAGATAACAAAGAGGTTAAAGACAACTTCCCTAAAGTATTTGTCACTACTTCGTTTGTAGCTCAGGTCCCACAGAACCCGTTTCAGATCAATCAGATTATACATTCCCTCTCAATAATTCCAGAGACCGAAGTCCACACTTGTGCTGCTTTCTTCTAGTGCATAATCATACACTAGAAAGAACCCATTTAACAGCAAGTCCATTCAAACAGCTGCATTTCAATTTGATATATAACGTTAGCCAAAACTTAAAATGTAACAAAGGTGAAATTTGGGGACTTCTTGTGGGACAGAATGCTAGCATGCATACCTGGGACATCTGGGTGGCGGTGTTTCCTTTGGCCCCCATGAAGACCATGGCCAGGGCAGAAGAGATGCTCAGAGGGGAGAAGAACACATTTCGGGAGCTGTCCTCTTCACCCAACATTTTTAATAAGTTGATGGCAAACCTGCCATTTGCTTCATGGAGATCCTCCATCAGGGAAGGTCTGTATGGAAAGCACAACACGGAGGCACATTAGCCACGCCCACTGTCACGTCATCTGGCCATGAGCACCCGTCGGTGGATGCCGGGGGTGCTCACAAGAATAACTGCTCCCCCCCAGACACCCACGTTGAATCTCCCAAACCTCCGTTATCTTGCTCGGCATCAGGGACCTTGCAGATGTGACTGACTGAATTAAGGATCTTGAGATGGGGAGATTTCCTGCAGTATCCAGGTGGGCTCAGTGTAATCACTGGGTCCTTATAAGAGGAAGGCAGGAGGCTCAGAGTCAGAGAAGGAGATGTGACAAGAGAAGGAAAGGTCAAAATGATGCAAGGCCATGGACCAAGGAATGCAGACAGCCTCTGGGAGCTGCAAAAGGCAAGGAAACAGATTCTGCCCTAAAGCCTCCAGAAAAACATGCAACTGTGCAACACCTACTTTGGACTTCTGACCTCCAGAACCATAAGATAATACATTTTTACTGTGTTCGGGCACTCAATTTGCAGTAAGATGCTACAGCAGCAACAGGGAACTAAGACACTGGTTTCCCTGAGTCTCTGTGCTGCTCCACTCGAAAACATTCTAGAAAATAAAAGGACAAATAGTCACCCATAATCCCATGACCCTGCAAGCTATCCTTTAAAATATATTTTTAACTCAAAAATTTTGAAGCTACACAAGAAAAACAGATTCCAGTTTGGAAAATCAGCAAATAAGCAATACCAAAAGTACTGGAATCTTCGCCTAGAATAAGGGTCATCATGCATTATGTTTATTTTTATCAACCAGTGGATCATCACGTGATACTTCTGTCAGTTTCGCAGAAGACTAGCAGCACCTCCTGCAGCCTTCTTGCAACTGTATCTCATTAGCCTGGTTGGGGGGGGCTCCTGGATTTCTCAGGGGCAGGAGAGGAAAGAGGAGCTCAGTGGGTGGGAAGAGGACAGGGAGACAACTCAACCAGAGCCTCTCCAACGGTTGACTGGTTCCTTGAAAGCTCCTTCCTATTTTTTTCAACAGAAGACATAAGATGTCTCTGATTTAGGAAGAAAAAAAAAGTGTGATGTCAAACAAGTATAAAGGCTGCACTCTAAATACAGATTCTCCAACAGCTACAACCAGTGCAAATTCAGGTTTAAAAGAAATGATTTAAAACATCAACCAAGGGGCGCCTGGGTGGCTCAGTCGTTAAGCGTCTGCCTTCGGCTCAGGTCATGGTCCCAGGGTCCTGGGATCGAGCCCCACATTGGGCTCCGTGCTCTGCGGGAAGCCTGCTTCTCCCTCTCCCACTCCCCCTGCTTGTGATCCTGCTCTCACTGTGTCTCTGTCAAACAAATAAATAAAATCTTTAAAAATAAATAAATAAACAAAAATAAAAATAAAACATCAACCAAGGGGCACGTGAGGGCTCAGTAGGTTAAGCAGCAGACTCTTGGTTTCAGCCCAGGTCATGATCTCGGGGTGCTGGGATTGAGCCCCACGTGGTCGTGTCAGGCTCTGCTCAGAAGTGAGTCTGCTTCTGGATTCTCTCTCTCCCTCTCCTTCTGCCCCTTCCCCTGCTCATGCTCTCTCTCTCTCTCAAATAAATAAATGGATACATCTTTTAAAAATAAATAAACAAACAAACATACATTAAACAAGAGAATACAATGATGACAAAGCTTGCACAGCAGGATGCTGTACTCGACAGGTTATTTCTTAGAGGACAAAAAGGAAAGTTTCTCACTGTCCTCACCCACAGAAGCCTCGCTGCAGAGCCTTCCACTGCAGGGCTTGAACCCAAGAGCTGCAGGTGTGGGGCAGCCGATGCGTCTGCAGTGGACAAGTCCCACGAGAGAGAGCAGCATCCAGCCCGTCTGCAGGCCACCTCCGGCCCCACATTGCCCCCCACACCTCCTTGCCTTGCAGTGGAGGACTGTTCAGAAAACAAACGAGGAGCCAGGGGGAGACGCAATCTGCACGGCACTCGGCCTACCACAAGGTGGCACCAAAGAGACCCAGAGGAGGAGAGAATTCACTAACCTGGAGGTGAGGGACACACACACATCTGGATTTGATCCTACCTGAGCCTACGTGTAGGCTGTGTGTGTGTGTGTGTGTGTGTGTGTTTTGCAAAGGAGTGTACTGGAATATCACATCAATTCCAACTTTACATTTTAACTGCTCTTAATGTCAAATGCCTACTTCTGGTTTCTTCCACCTTTCCTCTTCCTTCAATTCATTTCCACATGGGCAGGTGCTGGTCACGGCATTTCCCACCAGCGTCTGCCCCCTAGCAAGGACACCCTGGCACACACTCACCACTCCGGCACCTCGGGGGTGTGTCCCAAGTCACACCCGTGAACACAAAGGAGCTGAACAGGATAACCGAATGACTCTCTTTCCCCCACTTCTGCTTGGTGCCCCAATCTCACGTGTACATTAAGCTTTTGAGAGGGTTGTACTTGAAACAAAGTGGAACTTGCCCAATAAATCTAAAAAGAAATGAATTTCGGGGCGCCCGGGTGGCTCAGTCAGTTAAGCATCTGCCTTCGGCTCAGATCCCAGGGTCCTGGCCGTGCGTCGGGTTCCCTGCTCAGCAGGGAGTCTGCTTCTCCCTCTCCCTCCGCCTCCCCCCTGCTTGTGCTCTCTCTCGCTTTGTCTGGCTTGCTCCATCTCAAATAAATAAAATCTTTAAAAAATAAAATAAATAAAAATAAAAGGACTGAATTTCAATATAATACAAAACAATACATCTGGGTACCAGGGCACCATTCCACTGTGTCATAAAAACACAACAACGTGGAAAGGTTTGATTTCCAGCCTATAAAATGAATTGGCATTACGCTAGTTTTTCTTTTACTGGTGAATGAGGTCAGGACAATGAAAGCCTGTCCTCGGGTCTCATAGTAAGAGCAGCAGTCTTGAAGCAGAAGCCTTGTGCTTCCAAGGATGAGACACTGCTCCTCCTGGGGCCCCCGAATGCCTGTGGTCTCCCCGCTCCACTCTGCCTTCCCACGGACACCTCCAGAAGTGAACTTATACAAAGAGCATTTATTATAGAACTTTCCTTATATGGGTTAGAGAAGAAATGAACAACAAAGGCCATAATTCCTGACGGGGCACTCCCTCCTCCAGCAAGCTGGAAGAAACCACCGCCAGAGACACTTCCAGAGGGCTCCCGGTTACCCTCTGTAACCGGATAATTTACAAAGTGCTAAGGAAGCCCCCAGAGAAACGGAATAAATTCTCTCTGGAAGCTCAGGAGAAGGTGAGGGGCGAGCTGGCTTTCACGCATTGGGCAGGAGTGTGTGTGAGGCGGTGAAAGGGGAGGTGAGTGCCCTGGGGCAGTGGTGGGATTGGCAGGAGACAGACCTACCGTGGCAGGTGGCGTAGGTCTGTGTGGGGCGGAGGGGCTGGGTCTCTGTGCTTGGGTGACACGGGTGCACTTGGACAAGAAGTCTGAACTTGAGCTATGGTCCGGAAAGGCAGCTATGATTTTTAAACAAAATGTTCTATAGGAGCACACTGGGTTTTAGGAAACTCAGTGGCTCTCCACGGAGCCTGGAAAAAGGCTGGAAAAAGGCCGGGGAGCCTGCTGGCCGCCATAGCTCGGCGGCTGCCAGACAGGGGGGAAGCAGGAACCGAGTGCAAGGTGGCATTGCCCGGCGGCGGGGTGACCCATCACAGGAGGGACAGGGAGCAAGGAGAGTCAGGGAGGACGCGGAGGCTGGTTAAAAACAAGACACCAGGCCCCAGATGGGAGTTGCTTATGCTCAGCCCCAGATGCAGAGCCTTAACTGAATGACAGTTTCGGCTCTCCCCGAAATGGAATCTTAAACCAGTCAATCAGGAACGGCCTGACCAGCCCTAGTGAGGTCAACCGCCTGCCAGACCCCTGCCATCCACCAAAGGGAAGTAACTTTGCAACAACCAACCCTCTGTTTGGCCAGTAGAGCTTCCTTGTTACCACTCCCTTCTGCTTAGAAGTCTTTGCTTCTGTACAGCTCCTCGGAGCTCCTTTCTGCCTGCTAGACTGGATGCTGCCCCATTCGAATTCATCTGTGCTCCGATGAACTGAACTTTTTAATATGCCTCAGTTTACCTCTTAACAGACTCCTAGCTCACTGATGCCTGGGGCAGGTGTGACCCATTGGAAGTTTCTATGAGGAGCCAGATGGAATGAGGAAGTGATACATTCCATTTGAGATGTGCAGACTATGGTATGGTCCCTGGGTCCCTGTAACAAGGCAGCCAAGCGATGTTTGGAAACACAGGCAGGTTACTGAGTCGGGCACAAGTCCCAGAGCAAGAGATTGGGGGCCCTTAGCACCCAGACTGCGGGAGATCCTAGGCAAACGGGATGATTACAAGGTACATAGAGGCGTAAGAAGAGAAACTCACCTAGTTTTTAAGAATTCCCAGTATTTGCAGGTAGGAAGAGGAAGAAGACAAGGGCAGGACCCCAGGGCAGCCCGAGGCTGGAGGAGGAGGACTGGCGGGGAGCACCGGCGGCGGCGGCAAGCAGCAACCCCCCTCCCCCGCGCCCCGAAAAAGCCTGGCCAAGGGGCGGGAGCAGGAGCTGAAGAGAATCTGGGAAGTGGGGAGTCCATTAAATTAATTACTGTGGCCGCGGACGAGGTGGAAACAGGCCAGGAAGCATTTTCTCAAGCTCAGGAAAAGCAGCCAATGAAGGGCAGGTGAAAGATGCGAAAGAAAGAATAAAGAAAGAAAGGCAAAGACTATGGAAGAAAAACAGGATACGGGAAGGAAGGGGAAGCCTGGGAGGGAGGGAGGAGGCAGAGGGAGGGGCCTCGGAGCGTACCGGCCTCCCCCCGGGAGGGGGCGCTGACCCAGCACCTCCCCGGAACTTGCCCAAGGCGCCGGGGACCTTGCAGGCGCGGCTGCTCGGGGCGCGCCGGCCTCCCTGCTGCACCCGCGGCTGCTCCCACGCGCCCTCCCCAGAGCTGCCGCCCGGCAGTCTCCGGCAACAGCAGCCCGGGCTTGGGTGACCGGCCTGTCCCTCCGGCTCGCAGATCGCGGCGCGGTGGCGTCGGCGGGCCGCCGCGTCCCTCCCCCGCGGCCCCAGGGCGAGTCTGCGCCCCGCGCTCCGGCGCTGGCTGCCTCGGCTGACCCCGCCAGCCCCCGCCTTAGAGCCCCCCGCCGCTGCCCGGTCCGATCACCCCCCAGCCAACAGCCCCCCCGCCGTCCTCTCTTCCTCCCTGTCGGCCGCCTCCTGCCGGCCTCCCTCCCCGCCCGGGTCCCGCGCGCCGCCGCGCTCCCGGCGGGGGGCGCCCGCCCCGAGTAGCTGGCGACCCGCGCGCTTCCCAGCCCCGGTACCCGGGAGATTCCTGCTCCTGCGGCGGCGGCTGGTCCTCCAGCTCGCTGCCTGCTTGCCCGCAGCTGCGATCCCGGGCGAGGCCTCCGGCGGCTGACTCAGAGCCGTCGGGGATCGCTCGGCACCCGTGTGTGCCCGCGGGAGGAGCCCGAGCCTCCCCCGCAGCCCTCCTGCCCCGGCCTGCGTGCGCGTGGCTCGTGGGGGAGGCTGGGGCCGCGGACCTCTGAGGGTGTCGGCGGAATGCCTCCCGCCGGCGACTGGTTTGTTTCCTGGTTAGTGCGCGCAGTATTCGCGTTTGGGGGGTGTGCGTGTGCAAGGAGGTTTCAAAATTGGGACTTCACTTTGGAAATTAAGTAAAAGCAAGAGCAGAGGTTCCAGGTCCTTAAAGCTAGTGGCTTCCCAGCTGTTTTGGTAGGACACCCATCCAAACGATTGTTGAGCACGATCTCTGGTATCAGTATTCATATTTAGAGGTGCTAATATGCTAAATACTAACATACGATAAACGCTATAAAAACATAAAAATTTCCAAGAATGAGAAAAAAATTGATTCGAAATACACATTTTTTGCACTCAATTATTTCGAAACTTAATGAGATCAACGTGATGGAATATGTTTGCTTTAACCTTAATTTAATGCTTTGAAATACAGTAATTTAAAGACCTGTTTTTAAGCTCGGTTTATTTCTAAACTTGGATTGATAGCTGTCACAAGGAAATGCTTCCCAGGAAATGGGTTGATTAAAATAGAATAAAGTGGTGCCCCTGGGTGGCTCAGTCGTTAAGCCTCTGCCTTCGGCTCAGGTCATGATCCCAGGGTCCTGGCATCGGGCTCCCTGCTCAGAGGGAAGCCTGCTTCTCCCTCTCCCCCTCCCCCTGCTTGTGTTCCCTCTCTCGCTGTGTCTCTGTCAAATAAATAAATCTTTAAAAAAATAAATAAAATAGAATAAAGTCATCATCATTGGTTCTACTGACTAAACCCTGACACTTGATTTTCATTCACATACTAAGTGTACAAAGATTTCTGGTTGAAATCTAAATATTCAAAATCTATTTATCCTCTTGAAAATCATTGGCTTTTGCAAACCCAGATTTTTCAATGTGTACTTTCAGCTTGAACAGTTAGAAACCCACCAAATCTTTTCTTTTTGGAAGATTTTTGTGAAGTTTAGGAAAATTATATTTGCAAGTTTTTTAAGTGCCCAAATGTGAGAGTTTTAACATCTTTTTCTAGCAATGAAATCATATGAAGATGGAAAAACATGCCAGTGGGTGTTCTCAAATGATCACTTTACAATCCTTCAAAATCAGTTGATTGCACATTCATAGATAAAAAACGCACCTTTACCTGAAGGCAATCAGTCAACTGGGCATTTAAAAAAAAAAAATACTTGCTAGGGGTGCTACCAATATCAGCCACTTAGCATCACAGAAAAGGTCAGCACATTTGGAACATGGATCTTTTTTAAAAGAAAATAATTAAGAATAATAATTAACTAATATTAATTAATTAATATTAATTAACTGATCATTAACCTCACACAGGTCCCCTGTGTTGTCACCGCTGCTCAAAAGCCCTTACTTTCTAGGAAGAAGTTGCTGCAGCTGAGGTCAGAGGTTGCTGCCTGTGTTCTCCTCTAGGATGTTGATGGACTCCTGTCTCACGTTTAGTTCTTTCATCCATTTGGAGTCTATTTTTGTGTGTGGTGTAAGGAAATGGTCCAGTTTCATTCAGCCGCAGCAACTTCTTCCTAGAAACATCGCCAAAGGCAAGGGAAGCAAGGGCAAAAATGAACTCTTGGGACGTCATCAAGATAAAAAGCTTTTGCACAGCAAAGGAAACAGTCGATAAAACCAAAAGGCAACCGACAGAATGGGAGAAGATACTTGCAAATGACATATGAGATAAAGGGCTAGTATCCAAAATCTATAAAAAACTTCTCAAACTCAACACCCAAAGAATAAATAATCCAATCAAGAAATGGGCAGAAGACATGAACAGACATTTTTCCAAAGAAGGCATCCAAATGGCCAACAGACACATGAAAAAGTGCTCAACACCGCTCGGCATCAGGGAAATCCAAATCAAAACTTCAATGAGTTAACCACCTCACACCAGTCAGAATGGCTAAAATTAACAAGTCAGGAAACGACAGATGTTGGCGAGGATGCAGAGAAAGGGGAACCCTCCTACACTGTTGGTGGGAATGCAAGCTGGTGCAGCCACTCTGGAAAACAGTATGGAGGTTCCTCAAAAAGCTGAAAATAGAGCTACCGTACGACCCAGCAATTGTACTACTGGGTGTTTACCCCAAAGATGCAAATGTAGGGATCCAAAGGGGTACATGTACCCCAATGTTTATAGCTGCAATGTCCACAATAGCCAAACTATGGAAAGAGCCAAGATGTCCATCAACAGATGAATAGATAAAGAAGATGTGGTGTATATATCCAATGGAATATTATGCAGCCATCAAAACAAAAACAAAAACGAAATCTTGCCATTTGCAACCACGTGGATGGAACTAGAGGGTATTATGCTAAGCAAAATAAGTCAATCAGAGAAAGACATGTATCATATGATCTCACTGATATGAGGAATTCTTAATCTCAGGAAACAAAAGGAGGGTTGCTGGAATGGTGGGGGGTGGGAGGGGTGGGGTGGCTGGGTGATAGACATTGGGGAGGGTTTGTGCTATGGTAAGCGCTGTGAATTGTGCAAGACTTGAATCACAGATCTGTACCTCTGAAACAAATAATACATTATATGTTAAAAAAAAAAAAAGATAGCAGGAGGGGAAAAATGAAGTGGGGGAAATCAGAGGGGGAGACGAATCATGAGAGACTATGGACTCTGAGAAACAAACTGAGGGTTCTAGAGAGGAGGGGGGGATGGGTTAGCCTGGTGATGGGTGTTAAAGAGGGCACGTACTGAATGGAGCACTGGGTGTTATGCACAAACAATGAACACGGAACACTACATCAAAAACTAATGATGTAATGTATGGTGATTAACATAACATAATAAAATAAAAATTTAAAGAAAAAAAGAAAAGAAAAGCCCTTACTTTAGGAAGAGCCGAGTAGGTACGGAGGAATCTGAATGAGAACAAGAGGTAAGTTAAAAGGCCCAATTAGTCTGAAAGTCTGTAAATGCAATAGAGGAATCCTGGGAGGGAAATAGGTGAGCTCTGTGGGGAGCAGTACTCCTCTGCTCGGACATCTTTTCTAACTATTCACAAAATTAACATTTTACCAGTAAGACATCCTAACATACTCACAATGAGTCATCTGAAAACAATCACAAAAGTTCAGTACATTTGAGTAAACATATTTGATTCCATATGTCAAAAAGTTACCATAAAATTAAAAGATGAATGACAAGAAAATATTTGAAAAAAATCTTTAAATGTCACTTAAATAGCTCGAGAAAAGTGGATTTAAAAAACCGACCGCAGTAGAAACATGTGCAAAGGGCATTAGCAAATTTGCAACAAAGAAAAGCAATGGCTATTGTACACCTGAAACTAATGTAATAGAGTGTGTCAACTATACTCACATTTTAAAATTAACAGTTTAAAAAATGAAATTAAAAGAAAAGCAATAGCTAATCATTATATGAAAAAGTGTTAACCTCAAAGAAAAATAATAAATATTTTTTGAGTATATACTATGTGCTAGATCCCATACCAGAGCTTCTCTTGCAAGACTTCCTTTAATCTGGACAACTGTGTGAAGTGGGTGCTGCAAATATCTAGGAAAAGCATTGAACCTTAGTTCTTTAAGTTTCTGGTCCCCAACGTTGCACTGCTATAAGGAACAGAGGATTGGAAACCAGGTCTGTGTGACCCTGAAGTTCGCTGTTTTAATCCCTATGCCACACCATGTCCTCCCCAAAAGAAAGAAGTGGTGGAGACCACATTAAAGTTATCATTTTAAAACATAAAATTTGCAAGTATAAAGACTATGGGTCCCCGATGCTGGTAAGGTAAGATGGGCATGACTTCTTATTCTCCATAAGCAGTGCTGTAAATTGGGTGCCACTTACTTCCAGAACTGTGTTGAAAAGAAAAGAAAGGGGAGGGGAGGGGAGGGGAGGGGAGGGGAGGGGAGGAGAGGAGAGGAGAGGAGGGGAGAGGAGAGGAGAGGAGAGAAGAGAAAGAAGAGAAGAGAAGAGAAGAGAAGAAAAGAAAGATGGGTGGAATAAGAAATAAGAAAAGAAATTGCCATGAAATCAAAAATTACATTTCAAGGAATTTCACTGAGAGTAAAACACAAACATGGATTAAATATTATGTGGAATGATGACCACCTCATCTTTTATTTCGTGTGCCCAGAGAAAATCAACAAATGCCCAACAACAGAGAACAGGTCAGATTCTATCACACCCATGATAGGAAACTAATGTAAATATTAGTAGAACAAGACAATATTGCCACGGGAGCATGGGCTATTAAGTGTAAATTAGGAATAAAGTTGCATGTGAGCATAATCTATAGATAGAGTCGAAGGAAATAAATTCTGTACATCACGAGTTTCTGAACGACAGGTAATGTTTATGTTATTTATGTTTTTTTCTGAGGGTTTTTAAAATTTTTCCTTTTATGAAATTAATGTGCACACACTTAGCTGAAAAATCAGATAATGCTCGAGGAGATACTTGAAAAGGACGGGTTCCTATCCACTCCTTCCACCTCCCCAGAAGCAGTCACTCTTTCTTCTCGTATCTGCCTCCAGATTTCCAAATAACATAGCTATATTAACATTTTTGACCTAACAATTTTAGACATTATCTATTGCCTTCCTAATTTAGGGGCTGAGGATTCGGTCTTCTCACACCACTCACACTATCGCACTTGCCCTAGGTGTTAACTTGATTACAACTAAATAATATTCGTAACTGAGTTAACAAGTGTACTATGGGAATGCGTTCGTTTTTTCTTCTACTACTGTTTTTCCTTATGTTCCTACTGCCTTCTTCCCCATTTCTTCAGTTTCCTGTGTGCTGATGGCAAATGTGCCCCCAAGTGTTCTACAGACCAGGCAAACCTTTCAATATTCTTTCGCATGAGCTCTCCCATATGAGAAACCCATCAATCCCATTTTTCCTCTCCTAGTCTGCCACCCTGCTGGTAAAGGCAAGGTTCTTTAAAGTTTGTGGGGTTTTCCTTCCCACAGTGTAATTTCACAAGCAGGGAACAACTACTGTTACACCTACTGGTATACCTTAGTTAACAGGCAGTTTACTATTTGTCAGTCGAGTAAAAATAATTTTTTTCTAGAACGTTAAAGCACACTGCTTAAACAGCAAATAAGTTATTTTTTTCCTTAAATGTTTAGGCATTGATTACACAACCTGTCAGATTTTTTAAAAGCTTTGAACACCTTTAAGGGCAAACTTACAAAGTTCACAAACACACCTTTGCAAACATTTGAATTTCCGTAAGTCCAATAAATCCAGACTTACCAGTCTAGTGAATTAGACTCTCCTAAGACTCAAGCCTCTTAAAAAAAATACACAAAATAGAACAGTGATTGTAAGACTTCTCTTACTAATCTCATTCTTACTCATCTGAAGTTTCTAGTATCATCCTTTTTCCTTTCTTGTTTGTTTGAAAAGTATTGTGTTTAACGCTTCTGTTTGTCAGTCTCTAAGAGTATTACAGTGGTCTTCTTTTATAATATTTAAGAACTTATAATTTACTAGAACACAGACACAAAGGATTTGTTTCACTGCTAGCTAGTGTGAGATATTAGGAATGGAGGCAAAATGTTTCATAGAGATGTGATAAAATGTTACATATATTACAATTTCTATCTTTGGAGCTAAGACATAGATATGATAAAATGTCATATATATTACAATTTCCTATCTTTGGAGCTAAGGCATTTTTTTTCTCCTACAATACTGAGCCAAGATTCAGTACAGAAAACACATTTTCTTATACTCATTTATACACTGTTCATGTCAGATCTAGTCTTTCCTTTTATTAGATGAATATCAAAAAATAACCTAGAGTATATAATCAATCTCTGAAATTAGAATAACAGGGGCACTTGGGTCACTCAAGCAATTAAGCATCTGCCTTTGGCTCAGGTCATAATCTCAGGGTCTTGTGATGGAGCCCAGTGTCCATAGTCTTGGTGCTCCCTGCTCAGTGGGGAGTCTGCTTCTCCCTCTCCCTTTTCCCCTCCCCCGCTCATGCTTGCTCGTGCTCTCTCTCAAATAAATAAATAAAATCTTTTTAAAAAAAGAAATTTGTTCTTCTACTTGATAAGATTTTTAAAAGCAGGGGTGTTAGTATGACTACACTTTTACACAATAATTATTTTTAATAAAATGTTTATTTTTGAAAAGTTTTAGATTCACAGAAAAGTTACAAAGATAATCCAGGGAATTCTGTATACTCCTAACACCTTTTCCCCAGCGCTAACATCTAACATTACCTTTATACATTTGTTCAAACTAAGAATCCATACATCACCTTTGTAAAGATTTTTCTTCACTCAGTGCGGCATGTGAAATATAAGTGACAATGATAATACAGTGACCGAGTAGTTCAACAATTGTAAGGCATTCAGTTGAATAACATAATACTTCTGAAATGTAAATAAAAGTCACATTAAGACAAAATGTTAAGTGATAAAAATAAAATTTGCCATTCTCTCTAGCTAGGTAGATACGATAAAGTCACTAGAATGCATTATTTCAAGGTTTATTTGCTAACATTCAAATGTGAAAAACATACAAGCTGCAAACTGGTTTTTATTATAATTGTGTTTTTCCATCTTTTGGTGCACTTTTCACACCGGAAGATGGTCTTGTTTGATGAGAAAGATACATGGTCTAGGGGGAGCAGAATCTCCCGTAAAAGAGAATGCTCCCAGTTTTGTTGTGCCTGATGAAGAAGAGGAATGGGTGGTTTGCATTAAATTCAATGGAGGGGAGTTGAGTTCGAACGCTCACCTCACTCCCAGTACCAGCTGCAGCCTCTGTACCTTGTTCATTTATTTCTACAAAAGACTTGTGGAAAACATTGGACAGAAATAACTTTCTGTCCATAGACATTCCTGAGAAATCAGCTCTGCTCTGGTTAAAGGCATCGCTCATCCCCATATTGCTCAGGGTTGACTTGAGATCGTAAGTCTCTTCCAGCCTGAACTTGGGGAGCTGCACCTGCACCTGATACAATTCCATCATGTCTGCGCTGGTCCACTCACTCAGCTTCTCATAGGTGATGGCCTTTTCCAGCTGCAGGTGTGGAATGAGGAGGAGAGAGTCAGTAATTCCAGAGTGGAGTGAGAAATAGTGGTGGGATGAGACCTCAAGATATTACATACATGAATTACCATCACTCCCATTACCCAGGGTAACAAAGCACACACATTTGGAAATTCTTTGTGTAATGAGATTCCTCACACTGTTACCCTACAGAATCTTTGTTTTGGACCTGAGTAGTTGCCAGGATACAGGAGAATTAGACCTTGATTCAAAATGGCATAGTTCTATGCCAACATGCAAAACATCAACTACACACGGAAATGAGTCAACATAAATATGCATTTAGGTGCTGTCTACACAAAAGCATAAACTTTAGAATAAATTATGTGCCAGGGTCCAAAAAGTATCTGTTATATTCACATGGGACACAGCTCTTTGAAAACAAAATCTGAGATAAAATAAAAATGTCTATTTAATCACAACAATATGAAATTAGTAACTATAAGCTATGCCAAGAAAAAAGCGAAGGAAAACTAAAGAAAGGAAAATCTCCAAATCTTAAGGGTAATGCCTATTTTTTAGTATAGTTTTTGAGAATATTTTTCTCCTGTTTATATTTTAAATTATCTAAATAATAAATATATGTGGATGTATACACCCATATGCATAAGTATATATGAGAAAAAATGTGCTTGATTTTTTTTTAAATAAATGTTTGTTTCAAGACGCATGCTTTTGCTACTTTGAGAGTTTTCTAGACCCAAGTATTGCTGTCAATGACATACTTGTAGATGGTGTACATTAGTAATCTGACAACATATTCAGCTCAGGAAACTGCACTTTTAGGAAGAAAGGCTTATCTTATAAGGGTGTGATGCTAATAGTTTAGTGTCCACCATTTGTCTTACTTTTACCATTCTTTCCAGTTTCACAAATTTTATGATACCATTTGGAAATCTCTTCTACATTCTAGCAGGGCTGTGGAAACTTAGAAGTATAAAGAATCTAGAACACATGAAAAATTATACACAGTGCAAAGAAAGCCAGGCCACCCATTGCATGAGAAACTAATGTTCAATTTAAATATACAAATTGCTCAAAAACATGGTGTGACCAAAGTTATATCAGGCTTCATAGAAATTTAGCTGATAAGGAAATAATTGAAGGTAGTACTGATACTTAGTACTGATATAGCCTTTTTCTCCTGAAGACTTTATTTAATTAAAATGGATTTTTTTTTCAAGTTTTGGAAGTCAGAGTCTTGTTTAAAAATGTATATCTCAAGCTAGATTAATGCAAATGATTAAAAAATTAACCTCCAATTAGGTAAGCCCTACCAGAAGGAGAAGAAAGACCTAGACTGAGGTCAGCTCTGGCAAAGAATATATGTATCCGATGCTCCTGTGGCTGTTTGTTTAGCTACCCCATGCTAGAGCCTCTAGATTACTTAAACTTTCTGAGGAATAGTGATACCCAACTTACAGAGTTTTATAAAATTTAAATGATACTGTGAAGGTAAAGTCCTGAGGGCTCAAGGTATGTTGGTTGTCTTCCTCTATAGGAATCAAAGAACAAACAGGGAGACCACGTCTTATGTTTCTCCCCAGAGGAGTAAACACCAGAACCACCTTCGCAGCCGACAGACAGTACCTGATCCAGCCCATCGATATCTTCTGGCAGCAGTATGAGCAGGCTGAGATCACGGCTCTCATAGTAGAGTTGAAGGCCCATGGCTTGTGGCTTTTCAATGTGAAAAACTTGAAGTTTTTCTTTCATGGACATCATTAGCACTGGCTTGCTTGTACTCTATGGGAAGGAAGTAGCAAAATCACTGAGGAAATGCTCCACCAAATCCTTAATTTTATTTTACCATAATTGGTTCCCAGTAGTCTGGGACACTGGCAAAATTGGTGATTCTCTGCAAAATGCTGACTAAGTTATTCAGATCTTGCTTTCTGAAATAGGTGTTCTACTGGATAACATTAACAATAAGTGATATGAAGGTTTTTTTTTATAATGCTATCGTGGCAACCTCTATAAATCATAGCAAGCTGGATCCCACTGAACACTTTAAAAAATATCTAATCTTAGGCAAACTATGCCAATGTCAATGATTCAGAAACTGAATAAGGTGTATTTCACATGCAAACATTTGAGAAAGTATTTTAGTATCATAAACATTGACATTTACTACGAGAATAAAAAGACAATAGGCTAGGAGGAAATACTTGCAAAACACATATCTGATAAAGGACCGGTATCAAAATATATAAAGAACTTTTAAAAACTCAATGATAATAAAAGAACCCAATTTTAAAAATGGGTAAAAGCTATGATACCTCGCCAAAGGAACACATGCAGCATATGAAGAGATGCTCAATCATATGTCATTAGGGAATTGCAAATTAGAACAATGAGATAGCACTACAGACCTTTTAGCGTGGCTGAAAGTCCAAAACACTGACAATATCAACTGCTGACAAAGGTGTGGAGAAACAGGAACTATTGTTCCCTGACCATGGGAATGCAAAGTGGAAGCCACTTCCAGAGACAGTTTGGCAGGTTCTTACAAAGCTAAACATAGTATTACCATATGATCCAGCAAGTGTGCTTCTGAGTATTTACCAGAATGAGTTAAAAACTTATGTCCACACAAAATCTTGCACATAGATATTTATAGCACCTTTATTCCTAATTGCCAAAAATTGGAAGCAGCCAAGATGTCCTTCAATAGGTGAATGGCTAAACAAACTGCAATACGTCCAGATAATGGAATATTATTCAACAGTAAAGTAAAATGATCTATCAAGCCAGGGAAAGACAGGGAGAAAGCTTAAATCTATTGCCTATTGCTTAGTGGAAGAAGCCCATCTGAAAAGTCTACATACTATATAATTTCAACTCCATGATGCTCCAGAAAAAGCAAAACAATAGAGACAGTAAAAAGATCAGTGGTTGCCAGGTATTTAGGAGGAGGGATGAATGGGTGGAGTACAGGGCATTTTTTTAGGGCAGTTAAACTATTCCGTATGATACCAGAATGGCGGATACATAACTATGCGTTAGTCAAAGCCCGTAGAACTATACAAGACCAAAAGTGAACCCTAGTGAACTATAGACTTCAGCTAATAAAAATGTATCAGTATTGGCTCATTAACTGTAACAAAGGCACCACATTACTGCAAAATGTTAATAATAAGGGAAACTATGTGGGGGGTGATATATGGGAACTCTACTTTCCTCTCATTTTTGCTGCAAACCTAAAAATGCTCTTTAAAAAAGTTTATTTATAGTAAAGCCAATGGTAATACAAAAACAAAACCCTGCAATTCAGATGTTGTAGACATATGTTACTTATCCATTCTATAGGGAGCTGTTAATCACAAAGTCCCACCCATCTGCTAATGTAGTGGTCATATGACTAGGGCTGTTCATTCAGGATACTTCATGATACAGTGATTTTTCAGGGATGAGCACACGAATGGCACAACACAGAGTCCTCCTTTGGGAGCATTCTGTTAGAGCTAGCAGCAAAGACTATCTACCAGGGTTGTGAACCTCGAAGGCTGACAAGGGGGCAAACATATTCCCTGGTCATATAGAGAAATTGTATCTTCAGTATTAGAGAATGAAGGCAACAACCAGAGGGAGTGGAGGTGGTGGGAGTGGGGGTAGAGAGAGACAGAGAAGTGAGATTATGTCTTGAGACTCCCTGGACATCTCAGTTCCTCTTAGTTACGTAATGAATGCTAATATAATTCCCATTTTACTGGCCCATTTTGGAATGCTATTTTATCACTTGCAACTGAAAATTCCTTGTGGATATACTAGGCCAGGTAACTCTCCAGCTCATTTCTGGTTAGCCTATTCGATTATATGTTTGGTCCTTTCCCCATTTTTATCCCACTGATTGAGAACTGCCTATTGCACACATCCACACGATTACTGTGGGTGGTAATCATCCTACTGTACCACCCACCTACTGTGGTAGGTCCTTGGCAGCACTATTTATGTGAGAAGACCCACCGCAGGACTAAACAGCTTTAACAAATGTTGGCTAATCAATTCCTTTCCTAGGAATTTAAAATGAGATCTATTACACTGGTCTCTAAAACAGAGGCAGTGTTGTGAGTAGCCATGTTCTGCCAGTGTGAACTGGGAAGAAGAGGAAGTTAGACTTCAGCCTGAGGGAAGAACGGTGGGAGAAACAGAGTTGAAAAGATAAAGACTGAATCTTGACTACATTTGAATCCTTGTTTCCACTCAAGTTCCAAGACCCAGCCACATTCCAGCCCTTAGATTCTAGGGGATCTGTCACCTTATATTAGTCTCCCTTCTTGCTGTAGAGGGTTCCTATCACAAAAACAAGTGTGTTGTGTCCTAACACAAAGAGAAAACAATGGACGAGATGAGATTTTAAAGGTGTATTTCTTTCACTTATGGAAAGATAAGAATTTGGTAGAAGAATATTGATCTAGTAGAACAAGAACAGAACTAATAGTGAAGAGTTGGGGGTTACAGTTCTGGTAGATTTCTAACTTAGTCATGGCTCCAGTCACTTTGACAGCTGGAAAATAAATATAATAACTACCTTACCTATTCTACCATAGTCGTAGGGGGGACTAAGTGATAAAATATGTGAATAGTCTATTTTCAGAGAAGAAACAATGAAAGAGGAATTCCCAGGTGGGATGGACCTGGCTTTTAGCTCAGCCATCCCTGCCCTGGTAATAGCCAGACTTTCCAGGAACATATATTCAGAAAGAAGAATGAATTTCAAATAGAACCTCCTTTACAATGCCATGTAAAAACCCATGCTGATTATTAAAAGGTTTTTACCTTGTTTATTCTGAAAGGCTTTTCTGTGGTGTTTTGGACTAAAAACTGATGTTCCCAGATTCCTTTAAAGTAAAGGGCGTTCACCAGAACCATTCTCGTTGCAAAATCCACAGCATCATCAGGTAGGAGATTTTGGATTTTTCCTACAAGAACAAAAGGACAGATTACAAATGGTAGAGTTACATCCTGGAATACGCCACACTTATAAAAATGATAATTATGAAATACTGCTAAGTGATAATATCTTATATCCACCAATGATAGTTAGCATTAATAGAATATTACTAACAGGTCCTATTTAAATTTCATCTACTGTTCCAATAAAGTCCTTCTTCTGGACCAGAAATCAATCCAAGATCTCAAAATCTCAAGTTGTGTTTAAGTGTCAATTCATCTTAGTGCCTTTGAATCTGGGATAGTTCCTCATTCCCTCTTTGGCTTTCATGACTTTGACACTTTGCTCCCTCAATTCTCAGTTCAGATTTGTCTATTTCCTCAATTGTATCCCCCCAGAAAGGTATGTTAGGCCCTCACTACCAGTTCCTGTGAATGTGCTCTTATTTGGAAATAGGGTCTCTGCAGATCTAATCAAGTTAAGATGAGGTCATCCTGGATTAGGGTAGCTCTAATCTAATAACTGATGTCCTTACAAGAGGAGGAAAATTTGAACATAGACACACAGAGAGGACAGGACTATGTGAAAACACAGACATAGGACAGTTGTAAAGAAGATTATGGGCCATCAGAGGCAGAGACTGAAGTGTCCATAAGCCAAGGAATGTCAAGGATTGCCAACAACACCAGAAGCAAGGAGGGAGGCATGGAACAGTGCCTTCCCTAGAGCATTTAGAGGAAGCGTGGCCCTGCTCATATCTTGATTTCAGACTCGAAGCCTCTGGAACTGTGGGAGAATACATTTCTATTGTTTGAACCCACCCACTTTGTGGTAATTTGTCATGGCAGCCCTAGGCCACCAATGCAACCACAGAAGCATTGTTACGTGCCTCTCAATGAATCATACTAGGAAATAAATTATGTTCCTATTTCCCACCATGGGTGATGTTAACTTTGATGATTTGGTTCCCACAGGCTTCTCACTGTAAAATGATGACTTTTCCCTTTGTAATTCATAAGTATCATGTGGGGAGCTACTTGGTGACCACATAAAGTTCCTGTTTCTCATCAAATTTTTGCCCACCAATTTTAGCATTCATTGATGATCTTGCTTGAAGCGATGTTGACTGTAGTGTTTGCCAAATGGTGATTTTCAATTTCCACTATTCCTTCTACATTTATGAACTTGAATTCTACTATGAGGAAGAACTTTCCCATCTCTTCCTTTCATTTAAGTATTCAATAATTTATATCAGTATAGACTCATGGATATTTGTTTACCCTATGGGTTATAATTTATTACTATCATTATCTATTTTGCTGCTCAAATTGTCCCAAATTTGGTTATTGGAAATCTCCTCAAGTTGGCCCCTATGTCCTTCTGACATGTTCTCAAATATTTTGAGCATTTCTCTACTTTCTGGTACCAAAATGTATCCTAAGGTTTATCTGGTGCTTTCCATGTCCCAGCCCTAGAATTGGCATTTCTTCTTCTAGGAACCCTGTTTATTTTTATTTTTATTTTTTTTGAAGGATGGCTTTTAGAAATCAAGATGTGGATGTTAGATATGCACATTATTACTGGTGTGTCATTGCTCAGCAGAGAAAGCTAGAAAATACATGTATTATACACACATCTGTAAATATTTCCGATATCTATCTAATTCTCTGTCTGCTTATATATTAAAGATGAGGAAGTCATATTGGTATCTCCTATTCCAATCCAGCACCATGGGGTTCATGTTCACCTCTGCTTTTGCTTATTGTCAATTCCTTTCTCTGTCAGTGAAAAACCTGGCCCTTATTATTTCCAATGTATTTACTTATTTGCTCAGTCCTAGAATATACATAAAATAGTTTCAGAAGGGCTAACCCATTCTCCTATGAAAAGCAAATTTGATAACTTTGTGTACAGTTTTCTTTTTAAAGTCTTAGAGTATATAATTAAAATATTGTTTTTCTAGAACAAATATTTGTTGAAAAGAATAATTCTGAAACAGGAACGTAAACCAAGAAAAGTTGCTATTGAAAGACATTTTGAAGAGAAAATACAGATGGATTAGACTGATAGGTGAAACCATAGCGTGAACACACACACACACCAGAGGACTGTTGAGCAAGTCCAAGTGTTACCAGGGAGTTGGAACCTCAAAGGCCATGACAATGGAGCTCGTTTGGAAATGGGGCGTGTCAATGGGATTGAGGGAATTATTCCATTTACAGCAATTATTCTTAGCCCTGACTATCAATTAGAATCACCTGAGGATTTAGAAATACTGATGCCTGAGCCTCACTCTGAGAGATATGAATTAATTCATCTGGGGTTGGACTTGGGAATTAGTAAACTTCGCTTCATGTGTAGCAAGGACTGAGAGCCACTGGTTTGGAGTCATTTGGTCTAATGGTCTTTTTTTTTTTTTTAAGGCTTTACTTATTTAGGGAGCCTGGGTGGCTCAGTCGGTTAAGCAACTGCCTTCGGCTCAGGTCATGATCCTGGAATCCCGGGATCGAGTCCCACATCGGGCTCCCTGCTCGGCAGGGGGTCTGCTTCTCCCTCTGACCCTCTTCCCTCTCGTGCTCTCTGTCTCTCATTCTCTCTCTCTCAAATAAATAAATAAAATCTTTAAAAAAAAAAAGACTTTATTTATTTATTTGACAGAGACAGAGATAGTGAGAGCAGGAGCACAAGCAGCCGGAGTGGGAGAGGGAGAGCAGGCCTCCTGCCAAGCAGGGAGCCCGATGCGGGGCTCGATCCCAGAACCCTGGGATCATGACCTGAGCCGAAGGCAGCCACTCAACCGCCTGAGCCACCCAGGCGTCCCTCTAATGGTCTTTATACCCCTCTGTGGGCCAACAATGGGTAGCAAATATGTCCGCTTGCAGGTTATTGCATTGAGCAAGGACACTCATGCCACAATGGGGTCAGGACACAGTGGGGTAATAAACACACGTAATAAAACTTTTTAAAAATAATTAAGAACAACTACAGTTAGGTCTATTTAACTTCTCGATTTCCCTTTATTGTTACAAACAAAAAGTAGGTTTGGAAAACAATAGTAGGTAAGTGAACTATAATAAAACAACAATTAAATGAAATCCAGAGCCCTGGCTTTCCATTTCTAGGGGTTTGCTGGTAAACTGGCTCCAGGTAGGGGTGGGGGAGAAGGGAGACTCCTGATTTGTAGCCTATTTCTGAGGTGTAAATATTTTCGCCATATTGATTTCAAGCTACCAACATGGAAGTCTCTGAAAGGGGGGTTGGGAAGACACGCGCACGCACAGCCAACGGGCTCCCTGAGCCTGACTGCACGAGGGCACAGCCCGCCTGCAGTTGTCCTCACCCCATCGGAAGCAGCTGGGCAGCTTTTTAAAAAGTTCTGGGGGCAGCACTTCTAGAGATTCCAGTGGATCTGAGGTATGACTTGGACGTGTCTATTCAAAACAACCCTCCCTCACCTATGAAACAAACATTTTGGTTTTAACAATTAAATTTGAATTTGATTTTAAATGCTGACATCAGAACTTTCTAAATCATTTTAGTATGCATTTTTGTATCTTATTAAAGACAGTGTGTTCAACTTAATTTACAATTTCTTTGGTGATTCACCATGGCGAGGCCGTCTACATCATTTTTTTAATCTTTATTTTTGCACAGAAGTTTTATTCTTTAAAAGCTCTGTGTCATTTTTAATCAAGTATTCTATCATTTGATAGAGTTGTATATGCACATAGAGAACATATCGAGGATTGAGTTCTGCACAGACTTATCTCAAGTTGGTTGAGATCCAGATGATTGAAGTTGTGTCGCATTATTCTCTGGGTTCATATGTTTTCAGAGAAACCAGCCTCTTGAACCCACAGCTGTGTTAAGATATGTAAAATATAATTATTTTATAAAGGATGTACAAAGTGTAGTCAAATACAACTTCAAATTAACAGAGCCAAATTCGACCATGATTTTGCTATACTCTTTAGAGCTAAAGTGCCACCTACTGGCTGGTTCATTGCATACATCCTTGGTAGTTTGAGGTCATGGGAAGGACAATCTTCGAAGATATTCAGGGTAAGTCCTGCTGAGCACAGAGTTATTAATGTGACACTAGAGTGCCCAGTGTGCCAAGCACATGATAGATTTTGAGATTACAAACATGTAGACAATAACCTTCCCCAACACCCACTTTTAAGTAGCTTATAGACTATAAAGAAGACAAACCAGAAAAAAATTTGGAACATGTAACTGCCACTATCATTGAGACTTTGACTCTGAATGCTGTATGTCCAAGTAGTCCACATGGCTACTTGAAAGAAGGTCTATTTGAAACCTGAAGGAAAGAAGCTTCTTTTAGGTGGTTCAGATGGAACGTAGTCATGCTGAAGAGTTTCTAGCAACTTCCCTTAAGGATGTGCAGAACTCTGCCTTGACAAAGTCAAAGTTCCTAAATAGCTGATTCATTCTTTACCTTATTTGGTGTTGAATAGCCCTCAAATAGCCAATATTTGTGTTCAGTACGTGAAGAGAAAATACAGAAACGACAGCTTTCTTCCTCTTTAGAAGATTCCACTTCTAAGAAATAGAGCCAGCCTTGCCAGCTGGAGCAATGAAGTCATGGGATGCAGGCAATAGGGGCTTAATAAAAGATTCTGACCGTGCCCTGGGTTAGTTTATTTTGGAGGAACTCTCATTTCACGAGTAGTGTGACAATGGAGGATTTATCCAAGTGTGTCTATCCTTTATTTTGACCCTATAGTAACTATAATCTGAAGTCTACTCTTTCTTCCCTATCTGTAGGGCTCCCCCTTTTCTTCTAGAAAACACAGCAGACACTGGGTCAGGAATTTGAGACCTCAGATTTAGTTCAGCCCCAGACTATTCTTACAGCTACATCTGCCATGTTGAATTTGTGTTGGATATTACAACACACTTTTGCCTTTACAATCCCATTTGGTCCTCCTGCTAACTGAAACCATACAAGTGCTCAGTAAATGCTAGCTAATCTATGGTTCTAAAAACAGGCTTGCTTTTGAATGAATCCAAATCAGGTGTAAGTTAAGTAAAATGGTCACTCTTGCCTCACCATGGCTGCTGAGTCACTAGTTCAATGAAAAAGGAACTGAGAATTCAGGGCTGCCAACTTCCTTGGGGCACTTCAGTAAACGTTAATGTTCTGAACAACGACAATTAGCAGGCCTGCTGTGTGTTAGTGATTCAAAGCTGAAACTCACATCAGGCAGCATCATTGCCCTTGGGCTCTTGAGTCTAGTAGGGGAGGCTTCAGCAGTTAACTTCAATAACAGTGCGGTGCAAGTCAAAGTGAACTTTCACACTGAGTGCTGTGTGAGCAAAGAGAGAGGCAGAAATAAACTATTGGGACTTCATCAAGATAAAAAGCTTCTGCACTGCAAAGGAAACAATCAACAGAACTAAAAGGCAGCCTATGGAATGGGAGAAGATATTTGCAAATGACATATCTGATAAAGGGTTAGTATCCAAAATAAATAAAAAACTTACAAAACTCAACATCCCCAAAATGAATAATCCACTTAAGAAATGGGCAGAAGCCATGAATAGACATTTTTCCAAAGAAGACATCCACATGGCCAACAGACACATGAGAAGATGCTCAACATCACTGATCATCAGGGAAATGCAAATCAAAACTACAATGAGATATGACCTCACAACTGTTAGAATGGCTAAAATCAACAACACAAGAAGCAACAGGTGCTGGCAAGGATGCGGAGAAAGGGGAACCCTCTTGCACTCTTGGTGGGAACGCAAACTGGTGCAGCCACTCTGGAAAACAGTATGGAGGTTCCTCGAAAAGTTAAAAATAGAAGTACCCTACCACCCAGCAATTGTACTAGTAGATATTTACCCAAAGGTACAAAAATACGAATTCGAAGGGATACATGTACCCTGAAGTTTATAGCAGCATTACCAACAATAGCCAAGTTATGGAAACAGCCCAAGTGTCCATCGACTGATAAAGGGATAAAAAAGATGTGGTGTATATATACAGTGGAATATTACTCAGTCATAAAAAAGAATGAAATCTTGCCATTTGCAATGATGTGGACGGAACTAGAGGGTATTATGTTAAGTGAAATAAGTCAGTCAGAGAAAGACAAATAGCATATGATTTCACTCATGTGGAATTTAAGAACAAAACAAATGATCATAGGGAAAAAAAGAGAGAGGAAAACCAAGAAACAGACTCTACTACAGAGAACACACTGAGGGTCACCAGAGGGGAGGTGAGCAGGGGGATGGGCTAAACAAGTGATGAGGATTGAGGGGACTTGTGATGAGCACCGGGTTGAATCAGTAAATTTTAGTGTTGAATCACTAAATTTTAACCTGAAACTAATATTACACTATATGTTAATTGGAATTTAAATAAAAAATAAAAAAATTAAAATAAAAAAATTTTAAAAGAAATAGAACACTCAACTTTTAGGTGAGTGTGTGGCTACGTAACTACAAACTGCATCTTATAGATCATTATTACAGCAAGTCCAGGTGACCAACTATCCTGGTTTGCCTGGGACTGAGAGGCCTTCAGGTGGAAAATCCAGGCAAGTCCCAAGTAAATCACGACAGGTGTGTCCCTGGAGCCTAAAGCACACCATGTAGCTGAGTTTGGGATATGGGTGCAATTGATGTGTGAAACTTTCAGGTCATCTCTTTAAATGCAAAGAGGCTTTCTCTTCCCCATTTTCTGGTGACTTTAAAAATGACACATGCAAGAATCATCTTAGACTTAAATATGAAAACCATGTTTTGAGGGTGGCGGAGCTGGCCTACCAGTCTGGGTCTCTGGATTGCCTCAGCAAACAGAATGCTTATCTGCCTTTTGACTATTATGTGAAAAAAATAAACTTCTACCCTATCGTCAAGCCACTGTATTCCAGGTCTCTCTGCTACGGCAGCTTAGCCCCCTACTCTCATACCTGACCTGATTTTGAAAATTACTTAAGATTATATAACACGTTTAATGCCACAATTTTGTTATTAATTACTAGCTATTTTTCTTTGGAAATCACAAATGTAGCAGTATTTCAACTTTTCCTTTTGCACTTTCCTGCTTTTTTCCCCTGGGCTCCTCTTTAGAATTATTGGGATATAAGAATTTTCTTGTCCACTTAGTAAAGTGGGTATCTTGACTTGTATGTTTTAGATAAGACTTATTGGGAAAGCTGTGGATCTGAAAATCATCAGCATGAACAGAAAGAAATGTTCTGAATATTTAGAAGGTGTCCATAGTTCTAGTTAAGAAATACACATACTTACATACAACGCAAATTCAAAAAAATACAGCAATGCTTGGAGAAGACACTCTGCCGAGAACCTTGGTGAAAGCTTACCCTCAGTCTGACTTTCAACCCAAGAGTTGATCTCCTTTCGGATTTGTCCAGAAGCTCCCACAAAGTTAACAGACTGTGGTTCTGCACCAAAGTATGTTTTCGTGTCTTCTAAATATTTCTGGAAGATATAGGTAAAAAAATCCTTTTGTAGAGTGTCCAAAACTGAGAAATCAAGTCTATCGATGGACAGTTGCAAACCCCCACCCCGTTGCCCCCTTCTGTCTTTTTCATACTCCCATTTTGGTCGAAAATGAAACACTCCCCTCTTTAAAGTTAACTGGGCACAGACTAGCCGTGCAGAAGTCCAAGTGTGGAGGAAGGCCTGTCTCCCACAGTTCTGGGGCTCCCACACCCTCCCCTATTTTTTTTAAGTAGGCTCTACACCCAGCGGGGCTTGAACTCACAACCCCGAGACCAAGACTCAGACACTGAATGGACTGAGCCACCCAAACACCCCTACTCTCTCCTATGTTTATTCATGCCTGTGAAATGGGGCTGGAATGAAAAGGGAGAGAACTCTAGGAGTCCCAGGACTGTCTCCAGTGACTAAGATGTGTTGGCAGTTGCACTTGGCTTTCTCCAGCAGAGCTGGAACCAAAGTGAAGCCTATGGGTCCAGGAGACACCTGCTGTGGACTCTAAGCACCCAAGAACCTGTGGAGGGCCCCTGAGGAGAGCTATACGCTGCCCTGAAAACTGATTGCTAAGCATGGCTGTCGGAGGGAAGAAAGCTGGCCTCGTCCTCCAGCCCTTTGATGTCCCTCCTGGTGGCAGTCATCAGAAGTGGGCTTGTGAGGGCACCTGCCGCCCTCAGGACAGCTGTCGTACTCCTTCGGTTTATTACTTGCTGGAGGAATTGTGTGCAGTAAAACGTGGTGAGTTAATTCAGCCTCCAGGCTGTGGTTTGAAGACTAGGAAGTCTAAGCTCTGTAGAGATTATAATCCAGTGAAAAAGGAAGGCTTAAAGATTCATCAGGCACCATTCCCTGGGTTGACTCATGGGTTCTGATCAACCTCTCCGAGCACAGCCAGGGCTTCTCAGGGCTTGTGGACATTTTAAAAGATGTCTCATTTTGTACCTCTGTGTCCTTCTCATCTCTAAGTGCCCGCCCCACTCAAATACCTCCTACTTCCGGACCAAACCCAAATGCACAAGACTACCAGTAATAGAAATGTCTTTAAGGCCTCATTTGGATGCTTTTCTGCCTTTAGTCATAGCCAAGCCCAAGTCCTGAACTCCCCAAATTCACTGGCTATGGGCAGGGACAGCACTGCTTGATATCATAAGATAGCGTTATCTTTTCTATGGCTGTCCCTCTACCCTATCCAATTTCCTTGCTCTTTGCCCACTGGGCACTTGGGTCCTCCTGCTCTCTTATGACATGAGATGTGATGGACTAACGGGAAAGTCAATGCTTGGCTTGGTTCAGGGTGGACCACTCTGAGGAGCCCTTGAATCTGAACTGAGGATGAAAGCATGGTCTGCATTGTGGGGTCTTAGCCATCCGAGAAGGGGAGAAGGTGATATTATTCCATGTTAAGGGTCTTTCCTAAAGTCTCTAAAGTCATGCTGTGAGATGACTCGTCTGATCCCAAAGTCAGGTTTGCTCTTGAGTACAAGTCTCCAGCTGCACTCACAGGACCAGCTCTGCCCCCTGCTCCTGCACGTTGACCCTACTGAGTTACTCTGCATCTTCTGCTCCATTCCCCGTGAAACAAATGCTAACCCAGAGACTACGCAAACCACATTTCTGTACCTGTTTACCGGCTGAGGTGGACCCCTTTATTCTGAGCATAAAGATCTGATCACTAGGTCTGGCTTGAGACCCATTGTTGGTTTCCTTTACTAGACACCTATTGGTGGTCTAAATGATTGTTTACCAGAAATGCTGACCCCATACATGAACATTGTCCCTGGGATCTCTAGAGAAATGTACAAAGAGTTTACTGATTGGTCTCACATGCCTCTTTCTTTCCCATCAGCTTAACACGACATGTTTGCACTTACAGTGTGAAATGGGTAGGTTTTCTCTCCATATATCCTGTTGGCTGTTTTAAGTATGTAAGCCTTGCCGGGATTGTTGATTTCTGAGATAAGTGTCTGGAAGTGAGAGTGTATTTCTTCAACCTTGCCCAAACTGAATTCCTTTGAAAGAAAAGGGATTAGTCAAACAGTCAAATAAAAACACTGAACAAGAACTAGCTATAAATGAACAACCTGTATCTCAGTGAAATGATTTGGTGTACTGTAAACAAGAGCTGAAATCCATTGCATGGTAGACAAAAAATGTTTTCTTTAATGTTAGCAGCGCAAGAATCTACAAGTTGTTAGGGCATCGTTTTCTTCACATTTAGTTTGTAAAGGCAAGAACAAGTTTGAAGGTGGGGCAGTTTTGAAGGGGAAGGAAAAGATGGAGAGAGATAAAGGGAAAGAATACGACCCTTCCAAAAAGCATACACATTTTTGTATTTTGAAAAATTTTCTATAGTTTGATGATATTTTTTCTCAGAGACGTTCCCTATCAAAGTTTGCTTAAATCAGCCACTAAAATACATATACTGCAAGTGTTTTCTCCTTATCAAATGTGTATTCAAAATTAGACATACCGTCTTTCTTTTCTTCTCACTTTCAGGACAAGATTTGATGTGCTGGTCTCTGCTAAACTGAAGCACCTGTCATTTCAATAAAAGGCAATATGTGAACATACTTTGTGAAGACGTAACCATCTGAAATACTCATCAGCAAATACAAGTCAGTTGTTCACTTCACTACAGAGCATATAATTAATTACCAGAGGGGTTCTGATTTCACTTAAATGATGTGTTAACTGGATGGATTGAGTAAGTTGACAGCAACCTTTAAATAAATTTTTTAAGTTCCTGTTTAAGTAGCTGGTCTCTTTATTCTTATACTCTTTATAGGACATTTGAGATGATGTTGGGAAGATCCTTAGAGGTAAAAATCTCTTGTATTCCATGTATTTTTTTTTTTTTATCTACGGTTGTTTTGAAAACTAGGTGTTCAATTGAGAGCATCATTTAGACGATTTAAGCATAAGCCACTATTGCTCCAATTATCTAGAAAATTCAGGGATTTTAGTTGTTTATTCTAGTTAAGTGTTTCACGTCTCATTGTCTACCCCACTTGACAGTTAAAGACACATTCTTTGTGTTCACCCCAGCATTTCATTTGGAAGTTAACAAGAAGGATGTGGACATGCTTGCTTCCCCTGAATTGTGCAACAGTAGAAAATGAGGTGATAATCCCATCTCCCACAGCCTGGACCCACCTCACAATGAGGAATAAAGTCTGGTTTACCAAAGCTTGTCCTGACTGACACCCAGTGACTGACAGGGGTACATGAGCAACTCAGTCTCCACTGCACAGTGTTGCTATTGATATGTAAATAGCATTTAAATAAAGCAAGGGCAAGGAACACACAGCAATATATTTATATGAAATGGACCCAAGTTGGAATCCATCTAAGATTATCTATCACATTAACAGTTAAGCCTTTTATAATTAACCAGTTATTAACTAGGGGTGAACCAGGATTTTGTTGTTGTTTGAAACTATACAATATCTTGTGAACTAAAAGAATAAGGGTGACATCCTAGGCCCAAGCTGACAGAAGATAAATTCTGCCTATTTCATTCAGAACTACTGGCTGTGCTGTTTTCTGTATTTTGCCCAAAGGGCACCACCTTGAGTGGAAATTCTATCACTTGGCCTTTTGATTATTGCATGATTTAGGGCTGGATTTACTCTTTTCTATTTCTATTTTAAAACAGACACACATACATTTATATGTGTGCACACATGCACACATACACACATGGCTTTTTAGACTATAATTTTGCTATCTATGGTTCTACTTTCACGTGCACGTGGGCGTGTGCACGCACACGCACAATGCTTTGAAGATGCTTACAGCAAATCAATAATTGCTTATACAGTACTATTGTTTTGTTATTTTAATGCTTTCAATGGGTTCTTTACATTCATCCAGACAGCCAGAGATTGAACACAGAAACAACACAGAAAGCACAAAGAACAGGATTCACTTGATTTTTCTATTTGTGTCTTCAAGAAAATCCTTCTGAGATTGGAAAGACGATGACTAATTATTATTCAAAGTATGAGCCATTCAAAAACGATATGATATCACTCATACATGGAATTTAAGAAGCAAAACAAATGAACAAAGAAAAACGAGGCAAGGGAAAAAGCGGACTATTGACTAGAGAGAACAAAGAGAGGGAAGCCAGAAGGGTGGTGGGTGGAGGGATGGGGGAAATAGATGAAGGGGATTAAGAGCTCACTTATCGTGGTGAGCTCTGAGTAAACCACAGAAGTGTTGAATCATTGTATTGTACACCTGAAACTAATATAACACTGTATGTTAACTTCACTGGAATTAAAATTTAAAAATAAAATGAAGTATGAGCCATTACTTCTTGAGATGTATTAATAATCAAACTAAATTTTTTTTTTTTGGTGCTGAACCAAACTTGATAACCTTATCTTCTCTCCATTTGATCTTGCTAGGGAACATGGGCTCTTAGGTGGTTTTTTAAGCAGCGATTTTTCCAGTTGATTCTCTTTCCCAGACGTCTTTTTATGGCCTAAAAAAATGTTTAAGTGTATTTTTTGTTTTGAAGGATATGGCTGTAAAATGTAAGCTATGCAGACTTCAGGAAGCAAATGATACTAACAGTTAAAGAGAGCCCTCTGTTTAAAGGCCACAGAAGACGCTTGACCTCTCCCGCTCACCTGGGCCATCTGGGAGGCCGTGGTACCTCCGGTGCCCAAATACACCATAGCCAACGAGGTCGAGATGCCCCAGGGAGAAAAGAAAATATTTTTGCCCTCAGCCGATTCAGCCAGCTTTTTGCTGAAGTCCAAGGCAAATTGGTTGATTGATTTGGCTAGAGGGTCCATTGGGAAAACCTAAGAAAAATAAAGCAGAGATGGAAACTTGTTAATAATCCTTTCCACTTATTTTACTTTTGGCTGAATCACCCCTTCTTGAAATGACCAAAATTTATATCATCTAATCCGATTTTATAGCATATATGTAATGTATATATTTCCATTCATCCTTATATGTGTACCTATTCATAACAGCCAAATAGACTGTGGGAAAATTCCACACCAACATTATTAGTTTACATATTAGAAAACTGAAGTCCAGAGAGTTTAAGGAAATTGCTCAAATTTTAGTGATAAGGCACAGCAGAGAACAATTGGGTGATAGTCAGTTGGCAGCTCCTTGTTGAGAAAATCACAATAAACATGGCAGTGGAACCAGGTCTCATCAAGGTCAGCCCTGTGCTTCTCAATGCACTGCTGAGTTTATACAGTAGATGAGAAATCACTAGACATTTTTTCAAGAAACGTTGTGCTTTTTCTCACTTATCTATCACCCATATTTTTGTACTTTTTAACCTTATTTATTCATTCATGCCTTTAGTTATGATATTCTTTGTTCCTGGAATGCTTTGATCCTCCTTTACTCTATTGAAATCCAATTCTGTGCAAGTTTCTGTTTTTCTCTAGGAGCTTTTCCTGATCTCTTATGTGCAGAGGAGTAAGTCCCACAATATCATTTTTGCCCCCTATTTACATTTATCCCACTGCTAGTTCTGTCTTCATATGCTTATATCTTTCCAACTCCAGGGTAAGTTTCTTGAGAGTAAAATTTTCTGTATCTCCAACAACACCTCGTTCAGGACTTTACACAAAATGTATGCTTATAAATACTTGTTTATTGCTTTTTTACAATGTTCATTGTTTGGGCTCCAGCTGCCATTTTTTATTTACTTAAACTTAAAACCATACACAATTTAGTGGGAAATGCTCATAGAGAAGTAGGGAAGTCAAGGCTCTTTGCCCTTATTCTGGCTCACTTGGGACCCTCTGAAACTGGTCTTCTTGAACAAAAAACCTCAGTTTTACTCATTTAAAAAAAATTATATTCAACCTCTAAATTTCACCTCTAATTACCCAACATTTTCAGTCTTTTAAGAAATAACTACTTCAATAGAAGAAAGAAAGAACCACTATCAAAGAAATCAAAGAAGTAACTACTATCAAATAAATAACTACTTTAATCTGATGTCCTTTTATCACCAAATAAACTCTCAGACTGGTTAAATGATTAAAAATAAATCAACTTCCTAGACCTAGAATTTCCCCTTAGTGCCAATGTTCTATAGAACTTCATCTTATACTGATATCACCTGGCCCTCAGAGCTTTAGAAAGGTCAGGAGTTCTCTCTAGTCAAATAGTTGAATCAAGGGAGAGGCATGTGTAGGCCAAGTTTTGGTTTCTTTCTTTTTTAAGATTTTATTTATTTATTCATGAGATACAGAAAGAGAGAGGCAGAGGCAGAGGGAGAAGCAGGCTCCCTGCTGAGCAGGAAGCCTGATGCCAGACTCCATCCCAGGGTCCCGGGATCATGACCTGAGCCGAAGGCAGACGCTTAACCATCTGAGCCACCCAGGCACCCCCAAGTTTTGGTTTCATTATGAATTGGATTAACAGTGATCCTGCTGAAATCCCTCCTAACCATAGGCTTGCCCTTAGTCAAAGACCTTGCCCTTTAAGTCCTGCTTCAGTTGTAGTTACTGCCTATTGCTGAAGATGATGATAATCCTAGGCTAATATTATTTGACTAAAGAAAAAACAACTCTAGTTTTGTAGTCAGTCTACACCCTCACAAAATGTTCGAAACTTGCCAGTATGTATTTTTTCTTGATAGATCCAGTGCCATCTTGGAAATAACCTCCTTAATCTCTTTACAGCTATATTCATTCAAATGATGCTTGTTTACTGCCTATATATTAAACTTTATCTCTTTAGAATTCATGAATTGCATTCATATGGAAAATGCCTGGCTCCTCAAAACCATACTAACCATGAAGGGAGGAGAAAGTAATATCTTAGGGCCTGAGATTTTTATCTTCTACCTATGGTTTATGGTTATTCTAGATTTTAATTACTTATAACAAATTCCTGAAAACAAGAGTTTTATCTAATGGAAGAGCTAATTACTTGTGGAAAGTTAATATCCAGTTATCTTCAGCTTCATTGTCTTGTTAATATCATCATTAATATATGAGGTATTGCCCAGAACATAAAAGAACAATTCCTGCCATTTTTTTTTTTTTTACAAAAAAATGTATAGAAGTGCTAACCCATTGGTAAAATTTAATCCAAGAGTGAAAAGTGCTTTCTGAAGGATGCAGAATTTTAGGATGATGTTTTACAGGAAATAATTTATCCATACAAGAGTTAGACAATGCTTTTTTTCAGAGAAGATTATAAATGTCTAGATCAGAAACCTACTATGCCATTTTCAGAATAAATTGTACTTTGCAGTTCTCAGGAGTTACAGATGTGTCAGTTTATATATATATACGTAATACTACAAATATATATATATATGTAAAATATGTAAAATTTCAATCTCTCAAGGGCTTAGGGGAAAAACTGGAGAACTATGAAAGTAATAAAAGGATACTGTCATTCATCAAAATGTCACATCATAGACACACATAGTCCCAAAGAAGCTTGGAGTCCCCTCTAGTCCAATTGCCTTGTTTTATCTACTAGGAAACTAAGGCCCAGAGAGTTTAAATGTGCTGCCCAATGTGCACAGCTAGCTAAGAGCGAAGTTATCACTGCAATCATATTCTCCGGACTCTGAATACAATCGCCTTTGTCATTGCATCTCATTATCTTCAAGATTTTAATGGTAAAATGGAGGGATTGGGTGAGGAAAGAAGGTGAACAGGAGGAGGAAGAAAGGAGGGAGGATGGTATGGAGGAGGAGGAAGTGGGAAGGAACCTCACCCTGTTTTCCATAAAAAGATACCCAAGGCTCCATGACTATCATACTAATGATAGTGCCTACTTCTTGGAGCTGCGTCTACCAGAGGATGACATCTCCCCTCAGCACTTCTATACTTACCCAAAGCCATTTTCTGAGGTAAGCAATAGTTTGGGGTGTTTTACAATGAGCACATAGTGGAAGGCTGGGGCTTAGGCTACTCGATGGAAGAGAAGAAACCTAACAGCCCATGGAGTGGTGGCCACGTTGGGTGGGGACAGCAAAAGAGAGCCGAACCATTAATTCCACACATTAATGATGGGGATCAAATTCATATTCCCAAGCCCGCTCTTCTGAAGGGTCAGAAGGGGGTGGCCTCAGTTATTCAGAGAATATTCTATTTCTCTTTGCCTATGTTGACAGATACAGAGGTGGCCAATCTAGAAATGTGGCTGGAGGAGATGCCATTCACAACTTCACAATTCCTGGTAAAACCATTTCTCTAGCTCCCTTTAAATGAATGCTCTCTCTCCCCCTTTGCCCTCTTTCCCATACGAACTTTGAACCAGCTTGGGGTTAAATCTGTCTGACTTGTACAGAATTCTTGGGGAGATGAAGCTCTACCTATTATTTCTGTCTTTGGGAGCTCTTGATCATTTGTTATTCAGCTAGACACTTCAATAAAGAAGGAAAGCATAAATAAACATTTTTAAACAAAAAAAATGTTTACGATACCTTATTTTCTTCTGCTGGAGCAGAATTGGCAACCGGTTCCTTTAATAAGAGATTGTGGTTGAGTTAAGTAACTTTTAACTGTAGGAATCATCTTTAAAAATTCTAGCACCTCCCTTTTCTCGGCCCCACCCTCTGATTCACTTTTACAAGCCCATGCACTCTTCCTTTCATGTTTCTCTTGGCCAGGAGTTCAAATCAAAAGACAGAGATCAACAATTTTTTTTGCCTGAATGACTTAATTACCCACACTTTCCATGTCTGTCTACAGGTAGAAACCTGAGCTCTGACACATTCTAACAACTCACACTTTCCTTGCTTACTCTTCTGTAGTCTGCCAATCGGAAGCAATTCTAGTAGTTTTCCCCAGTAGTATTTCTTAAAAAAAAAAAAAAAAATAGAAAGCTCTAAATTAGTGGAATAATAATGGGCAGTAAAATAGAAAATATTATGGGTGAAATATTTGCTGTTAAATTGTTAAAGCCGCTCTTAAGGTGCCGTGTGCTAGAGGCATCCAACAAATGTTGGTGCTCTTCTCCCTTGATGGGTTGGTATGGAACCCAGGAAACCACTCCATCCAGTCCCATGTCCATTCTCCCACCCCAGGAACAAGGGGTCTGGACCAATGTTTTAGACACAGTTGCTGAGTCAGATGCCAGTTCATCATTTTTAAATTTTCCTTTTATTTCTTCCTATGAATGTTCCCTCACTCCCCCAGACTTCTTCAACAGGAAAAACCACAGTTATTGTTTTATTTTCTACAGCTGAGTGCCTGTGCGTGGTGGGGTGGTGAGGGGCGTGGGGGGAGAGGGATGGAATTGAGAACATTCCAGAGAGATTGAGGGAGAGAAGGAGCCTCTCTACTTATAGCAGATTTGGAATGTTCTTCATGCACTTTGCATTTTTCTCTTTCATGGGGCATACTTGTCTTCTGGTAAACTGGCTCAGAGTTTAACATTTGAAGGTTAGTGCGGAACCCAGAGCAGAGTGTTTCTCTGGATTTCACTAGGGAATGTGACTTGTGTAAGAAATTCTATTGCTCCTGCCTGCCGTGTGCTGAGCAGATAGTAGTATCTACTGGTGCCTCCAGACTGTTATTAGCTGAAAGTATCACATGGAGGATGTAGATAGAGGGACCGTTCATCTTGACTGGCAGTAGTTCACCAGAAAGTGACTTGGGCTACATCAATACACAGCATGGTGACGCTCCAGTTATTTATATTGCATTAAATGCATCAATGCAGAAACTGCCAAACTGGCCAAGAAATGGTTTCATCTTCTCTAAAGTCACAAACTAAGTTTTACCCATTGGTTTCCCCTGAACCTCCTCCAGATTCCTTTCCCACTTACCTCTTGATTAAAATTCTTATAGATACACTACCTATGTTGATAAAATCATGGTTGTGCATTATTTTGATGCCTGTTTGAGGGTGGGCAGGGAAAGAAAAAGAGGTATTAGTATCCTAAGTTAACAACATAATTTTATCAACACAGTTTTGTTTGTTGTCATCATTTATGGCCTGCCCTATGTGTATGTGGCAATATGTACAGACATTACTAATAGGGCTATAGGGATAGGAACTATATGAATGGGGAACAGGGGTGGGAGGGATAGTTTTTGCTCTGGCCTTTTTTATGATATTGATGTTTAGACCACATGAATTTATTAGGTATTCCAAAAATTTCCAAGACAGAGAGAACTCTAGATGCATCAATAATATTCTCATAGGAATTCAGAAGAAGAGTATAAATTGAGTGGGAAGAGACAACGAGCAGATAATGGTTGCCCTATTCCTATGGGTTGCTATAAGAGAATACCAGAGACTGGGTGGTTTAAACAACAAACATTTTTTTCACAGTTCTAGAGGCTGGAAATCTGAGATCAGGGTGCCAGGCTGGTTGGGTTTTGGGTGAGGGCTTTCTTCGTGGTTCACAGTAGGCTGCCTACTCTCTGTGTCCTCATATGGTGGAGAGAGGAAGCTCTGATTCCTTATCTCCTCCTCAGGGCACCAATTACATCATGAAGACCCCACCCTCATGACTTAATCTAACCCTAACCACTGCCCAAAGGCCCCATTTCCAAATACCATCACATTAGAAATGAGGGCTTTCCATAGCACATACCCAGCCACCCCGTCCCTCCCACCCCCCACCACTCCAGCAACCCTTAGTTTGTTTCCTGAGATTAAGAATTCCTCATATCAGTGAGGTCATATGATACCTGTCTTTCTCTGATTGACTTATTTTGCTCAGCATGACACCCTCCAGTTTCATCCACGTCATTGCAAATGGCAAGATCTCATTCCTTTTGATGGCTGCATAATATTCCATTGTGTGTGTGTGTGTGTGTGTGTGTATCCACATCTTTATCCATTCATCTGTCGATGGACATCTTGACTCTTTCCACAGTTTGGCTATTGTGGACATTGCTGCTATAAATATTGGGGTGCATGTACCCCTTTGGATCCCTACTTTTGTATCTTTGGGGTAAATACCCAGTAGTGCTATGGTGAGCGCTGTGAATTGTGCAAGACTGTTGAATCACAGATCTGTACCTCTGAAACAAATACATTATATGTTAAAAAAAAAAAAAAGAAGATAGCAGGAGGGGAAGAATGAAGGGGGAGAAATTGGAGGGGGAGATGAACCATGAGAGACAATGGACTCTGAAAAACTGAGGGTTCTAGAGGGGAGGGGGTGGGAGGATGGGTTAGCCTGGTGATGGGTATTAAAGAGGGCACGTTCTGCATGGAGCACTGGGTGTTATACACAAACAACGAATCATGGAACACTACATCAAAAACTAATGATGTGTGGTGATTAACATAATAATAAAAAAACAACTAAATAAATAAATAAAATGTTAAAAAAAAAAAAAAAGAAATGAGGGCTTTCACATACGTATGGGGCAGAAGGACACAAACATTCAGTCCACAGCAATGGCTGAGAGTTTCCCAGAACTGAAGCAAGATACAAGTTTCCAGATGGAAAAAATCTGCTGATGAGCAAGACAAATTTTTCAGAACACTTCTAAAAAATAGTCTTAATGCAAGGAAATACCAAAAACATCATTAGGAACACAAAGAAAATTATGAAAACTACAAGGAGAAAGAATTATCCTGACATCAACTTTCCCATCAGCAATTTTTGGTGCTAGAAGACCATAAAATCCTACCACTGAAATCTTGAAGAGTGCTTTGAGCCTCGAATTCCATGCCCATCCCCTAACTCAATAATGAGAGTGAGAAATATGGATATCTAAAGACTCAATTGTTCCCAACACTGCTACTTATCAAATTGCTAAATTATTGAAGTTCATAGAAAAATGAATCTAAACATAAGAGAATGCAAGAAGAACACTTAATTTTCAAGAATGTCTGATGTAGAGGAAACAAACCACAATTCAAGCTTTACACACCTATTTTTTTGGTAATTTTCCAGGATTCTACATTTGACCAACTGACAGTGAGACAGTTTTATTTCTGACAAAGGTAATAAACACCAGCACTAGTACTTATTAAACTCTGTACATGCTCAGCATTCTTTGAATTGTTTATGATGTATGAATTCATTTAACCATCATGGCAACCTTATGAGTAAAGCATTACTTTTTCTAGACTGAAAACCAAAGCATAAAGAAGCACCCTTCCTGGCCCATGGTTAGACGACTCATAAGGACTAAAACTGAGCTGTAGGGGCTGACAATCAAGGGCCTGATATTACCTGCTCAGCCACCGTATTCCAGTGGGTCATCTGTCCCTGCCTTCCGTCAAGGGGAGGCTGCTGCCTGGGAGACATTCTCAGAGTCCAGCCACACCCCTACAGCCAGACTCTGCAGCCAGCTCGGACTCCCCAAACAAGACCAGCCTCAGTTCTCAGGACTTAAGTCATGTTCTGCTCTGTCTCTGACCCACTCAAAGCTTTCAGCACTATCTGAAGCAAACACCCCTGAAAGAAGACATTTGTGTTTCCCCTCTTACTCTTACACCCAGCCCACCTTCCCCTTTCTGAACCCTCAGCTCAATGACCTTGACCATGATTCTATGTCTGAACCACTGGACCTGGTGTTTATTCCTGATATCCTTGAGGTTTAGCCATGAGGATCCCCAAAGGACTTTGACTCAAGCTTTTCCGAATTGCTATGCCTTTTCCTGCTATGAGAAGGCAACTCTAAACCATTTTACACACAACCCCCTCCCACTCCCAACACTGGGGATCCCTGCAGGGGCAGATATCTTCTAATGTCCTTTATTCTGTTTTTTCTTGGTCCCCACAAAATGAGGCATGATGCCTGATCCCTGGGAATCAAGGTATGACAAGGCATATGAGCTAATGACCCAATGGAATGACAACAAACAAATGGTTGTGTGGAAACACGTTTATTTTTTTTATGTAGTTGTAATTTTATAAGTTATAGACACATCTATGTGATACATAATGCTAGAAATGCACAGAACATTTTCCTGTTGTTCAATGCTTTCTTCTAGGTATTTATTATAAAAGGGCATGGAAAGGACAACCACTCATCCCTCATTATACAAACAAGTAAATGCCCTTTTTTAGATAGAAAAATAACTGATCATCTGCTTCTGTAACTACCAGCTATATAAAACTGACAGTGAACAATAATTAAGGCCATTCTATAAAATAATAAATAATACAGTAAAAGTAAATGCTATACAATAAACGGATAGTAAGGAAGACCTAACTGGAGCATCATTCCGCTTAGGAGACCAAATGATTAATAGGCTTGCAACGTTATGGTGGACAGCTGTCTAGTGACTTCTGTACTTATCATTAGTATGTAGTAGGAGTTGTTCAGAAAAAAAGCAGAAATGTGTAGGAAAAGCCTCTAAATTTTTGGCACTTATTGCAATTCACGGAGGCTTACAGCTCATACTATGAAATCCTGTGTCAATTTTCGGGTGAGATAAACCGGCCAAAAAAGAGGATGTTCTTGGTGATTTTGTGCACGATAAAGAAGAGGAAAGGATGGTCTGCCACAAACTGTGGACCTCCGTGGCCAGTCCTCCCCGACAGAACTGCCCCGGTGCCGGCAGCTGCTTCCGTGCCCTCCTCGTTCACGTCCA